TTCCTTCTGGCCGGACAACAGGGTTTCACCACTAGGGGACATGCGCCTCACAGCCCCAACAGGCTAAGATGGATTAGACCAAGCTGTCAAAACTTGGCAGGCTGCAAGTACCTTTCAGATCACTGGGCTTTATAAAATGAATTAAGTGTGAGAAATGAATTTGGACACATTTATTTACTTCATAATACTATAAAACTAGAGATGGGGTACTCAGTGCTCTGGATTTGGTATCTCTGTGAGTTATGAAAACCACTGCAGAATTTTCTCCTAAAATATTCAGTCCATTCTTGTATTTTTATAGGCTAAGTGCCAGAAGTTTTAGTACACATAGTAAATGAATAAAAACCCATTTCTGACATCATTTTTCTAACATGTTTCAATAGCTGAAGTTTTTATTTTAGTTTTATTGGTTTTCTCTCTTCATAGTCTCATTTCCATTATTCCTTGGAGATTGGCCTATTGTAAATTAAACTTGAACTCTGGGTAACTGATAATTGTTGAGGTGACAGTTTCCAGTAACTATGTTCTGCTGGGAAACAAGAAATTCCTACGGCTTTTCTAAAATAGGTTGACCCTGTGGCTTTGGAAAAATCTTAATTGGCAACAACTATTTTGGTCTTCAACAAACAAAACAAAATAAAAAAACAGATTAGCAAAAGTCCAGAACTGTAGGATAAAGTTATAAATCATTGGTATATTATAAGAAACAAGTAAGTAATATATTTTAAATTACAAAATTTGTTGTTAATTAGAAGTTCTCTCTGATCACGTAGGCCAGACTTGATGTGTCAGCTTTACATTATTGGAATTACAATTTCTTTGTTCAGAGAAAAAATTGGTTTTGAAACAACTGAAGGCCAAATTATGAAAGTTTGAGGCTAATAAGGACAGATTTTAATTGTTTTATGTTTGATTTTATTAAATATGCTCTCAAATTACTATTGCTTCTATGACTATGCTTATATAACTAAGCATGAGTCAAGAATTTGGAGAATTTGTTTTATTCTCCAGGAATAACTCAGTGCATAAATGATATGTGTATTAAGTAGACTGCAAAAGTTTAACTGCTTTGAGCAAGTCTGAATAACATTTAAAAAATAAGAATTTACTATGATATAATTAAACTGCCAAAATTACAAAATGCAAGACAATGATGAACCCAGTTATGGCTCTGCTCATTGTAATGAACTGAGTTACTTGTCAGACGACATGACGTGTGTGTTAAATCCCTCTGCAGAGAAGTTGAGACCACTCATTTAACAATGATTTCTTTCCATTTATACAGTGTATAAGGTATTACTTTAGATACAATAGATACAATAGTGCAATGATGGGGCTGTTTTGACCTAATTCAATGTTTATTCAACACTTCCTTCCCATATTATTTCTGTTAAAGATCTGGGTTCCAGCATTTTGCAAAATATTTTTCAAAGCCATCTATGACTCTACATGTCTCATATGTGAACCTCGTGGAAGTGAACATTTTGAAACACGGGCCTATCTAAAATCACAAAGATTAGCCATGGTTGGGTGGCTCAGTTGCTTGAAGCGTCATCCTGTACGTCAAAAAAGGAAGCTCAATTTCCAGTCAGGGCACAATCCTGAATCAGAGCCTGTACGAGAGGCAACTGGTCGATGTTTCTTTCTTACATCCATGTTTCTGTCTCTCTCTCCCTTCCTTTCTCTCTCAAAACTCAGATATATGCTCAGGTGAAGATTAAAAAAAATCACACAGACCAGTTCAGGAACATTTAGCAAATTTTCTAGGTTCATTTCACTTAGAGCAGAAAGTTTCCTGTGTGCATTTGTCACCTGAATCTAATGTTGTGATTATAAATGTACCATAAGACATAAGTAAAGTGATCTTTTCTCCACAAAAGTTGACTTCGTCTTAATGTAGTTGTTTTAAAGTAATTTGTTTGAGATGTTAGATGAAATATATAACTTGTGTGAGTGTTCATTAAATCTGTTGAGTTATTTTGATGTCATTTTATTTTTATGTGAGACCATCAGATACACTACTAACAGCTCAAAAAATACACCTTTATGAATGTAATTTAACTTGATCTTTAAATTGTGCATATTTCAAGAAATCACTTCAGTTTTTCTTTACCCAAAATTATAGCTAAACAGGAACTGTAAGTTTAAAGAAGTGGAAAACATCAGAAGCTGGGGATAGCAATCATCTCTGTGGATTTGAGTATCTGAAATTTTAGAGTTAGTACATTATTCCACAGGGTGGCAGTAATACAATACGTAACAGGAGGGATACCATCCACAAGTCCAAGTGGACAGTTAGTGTGTAAAAAATCATGTTTTAAATGTCACTAAATCATTGTACATGCAGCTATAAAATGTGCATTGCGCATGTTTATGGAATCAGTGAAATTAAAATTATTATTTTATAGTTATCTAGTTAGAGCGTGTAAAGAAAACCAAAATAAACATTGTTACAACAACTGGGATTGAAACAATTTTTGTGTTGATTTTTATGTTGTCATATAAGGAATTTAAATTTTAGAGTGATTCTTAGTAAACTCTTTCTTAACCAAATATATATTTTTATTATTTCAGAAAAATCTAGGGTAATCTAAAATCATTAAATATATACATGCATCTGTTTGGTATGTATGTGTGTGTGTGTATCCACCAAGAGAAAACTAAGAATCTAAGAATCTACTTAAATTCTAAACCACAGAATATAATTAGAAAGATTCTGTAATATCATAATCATAAGGCAGTTGCAGAAATTATAGAAAGTTTACACTCATAATTCTTTCTGAGATTTTAGTAACCATTCAGAGTTCAGAAAATATCAGAAAAATGTCTTTAAATATGTTGATAGTAGTTATAATTGAAAAATTAAAAAGTATGTTTTAGTAAAGATAAAAATTTTTTAAATAATGTTGAGAGTAAGGCAGCTATAAATTGAGAAAAGGGTACACGTTTTGCATTGTTATATGAGAATGATTCAATCAATTAATGTAACTTATATTCGAATAGCTGAGGACTTATGTGAAAAATGAACAATGACTGAGGGAAAAAGCGACTGTGTTTTTAAATTTTATGAAATTATAATTGTGACAGATTGTACATTTCCACACCCAGCCCTGATCCTGAGTTCCTTCATTTGGACTTCTGGGAGCTCCACTGAGGGCCCACTGGGGTTAGGTAAAACTTCTGTAGTAAAGCAAATCAAAAGCTTTTTTTAAAAACTGGTACTTTTTTTTTACTGATTTAAGCACTTAGATGGACCACCTGATGAATAACATCAGTCGGGACAATGATGTGTGTCTAAGTGTAGCCTCCATGTTACTAGAAATGCTTGCATTTTAGAGACATGTTAGCTGTATTTCTTTCTTCTTTAATGTAATCTTATTGTATTTTCCCTTACCATTCATTTCTTTTTACTGAAAAGTATTTTATGCAAGATATTTCACTAGAACACTGTTGTGGGAACAGGAACAACTAGAGAATTCAGTGCTTTAAGTTGAAAATTGGAGACATGCTTTCCCATGTTAATTATGAAGGCGATTTGCAAGCACTTTCTAGAGCATCTGGATTTTTTCCCTGCACTGAATTCATGTGACTGTTGTTTAGGGTATGGCAGTTAAATTGAATTATCACTAGGGTGGTTAACCTGTTTATAAAAGTATTTCCATTTAGGAGTAAGTTCAACTATATAAGCAGTTACACTACACACATACACACGTATATACACACACACATATATACATACTGTGTTGTTTTACATACATTATACATAATATATATTTTTGTGTTATATTACATATATTATATATACAGCCTATAAAATGATTCAAATGAAGAATTTAAGGAAATCAAATTGTTACATTTTGAGAGAGGGGAGAGAGAGAAAATGTCACTAGTCACTAACTTCTGTTAACCTAGAACCAGTCTTTTATTCTTGCAACTTGAGGTGGTTAAAACTCAGCTGTGACCACCAAATGGCTCTTTACATAACTACTAAGGTGAACCTTGACGACTTAAGGGTTGCTCACATAAAATTTTACAAGTGAAACAGCAACATCCCCAGTGCATGTTTTGGGACAGGGTTTGTTGTAATGTGATTTCTGTGTGACCAGGACGAGTGAAAGAATAGAGAACAGATGTGAAATCTCTTTTGAGATTTGTGCTCTGCAATCATGTGGAAAAGATGAAACAGATGAAACAATTAGAAAATGTCAATTCAAACAATCGATGTGAAATAGGGAAAAGCTCTTAACATATAGTTCAAACCAGCACATGAAATCATGGAAAAGTGATTTTCTCCATGTTTATCTTTAGAAAAAGCTAAAACGTGGAACTTAGAATATTGGTTTGGGGTTACTAAATTGGTAAAAATCAGTGTGTTAAACTTTATTAAATACTTGTTAACATCATTAAATTTATCTTCTATATTTTATAACATTGTTTAAATTTAATGACTTCCAATAAATATGTAAATTACTATAACTTAAGAGCCATCTCAATTAAATTTTTAAACATTAGCATATTTTATAGCATGTTAGAAACCATTTTGATTTTCTTTAAAAATCCTAGGAGCTTAAAGCAACGAAAAAGTATAACAACCTACTTTATGAACACATTTTTATAACCACATACCTTGAAATCGGGAAATTTTCTCCTGTGCAATCCTAGATATATGGATAATATGTTTTAACCAGGTAAAACAAGTAAACTTAGATTGGCCCTGAAAGATTCTGTTCCTACTACTAACGAGCCCTTCGTCATGCTCCTGCCATAGGATCCGAATGTGGTGCAGAATACCTACATACTACTTTAAACAGAGTAACTGAAGTCTGTGCTGATACTTCTCCCTCTGGTGTCTTCCAGAAAACTTTACTGATCTCAGTTTTGCTTGTCACATTAATCAACTGAAAATCATGCTTTGATTTATTTTTTACTTTAGCTCTTTTGTTGTGCAGTTCAGTTCAATAGTACTCAGACTAACAGGTACCTATTTTTCAATTCCCCAGGTACGAGTATTCACGTTTTCAGTTGGTCAACATAATTATGACAGAGGACCTATCCAGTGGATGGCGTGTGAAAACAAAGGTAACATCTTTTTTCTTCACCATATTTTATTAGAAATGAAGTAATTTGGCAGTTGTAGGTTCTCCCTATTATTTAAAATAATCTAAAGTTGTAGCTAATTTTTATAGGAATTGAGGCAAGAATAAGCTGCTGAGCATATTTTCCATAGGGGAAGCACACAGCCCAACAGACTTTGTTTGCATTATGTAAAAATTCAGGTATGGGTCATATTATTGTAAATTCATAAAAGGATAAGTGTTATTGAATAATGCTTAATGAGTGTTATCAAATATAACCTTACCTAAAATCTAAGAATGAAAGAACATCTGAATTACATAAAACTTAGACATATGAAAGTGTGACATGTACATTTTTTATCTGGTTAAATTATTGGTTTTAAAAATGTATTCTTATGCATCTCTAGATATTAATATTTTGCTAGTAAGTCTATATTTCTTTGTACTCAGAAAAATACAAGTTGCATTTTGAAAAATAAACAGTGATCACATAGCAACAAAAATAACCTAAATTTATTCTGAAAGTTATATTTAGGCAAATATTTTATGTAAATATAATTATCAGATACTCATGATCATGCATCTTTAATAATTAATGAAAAACATTTTTAATGATACCACATTTTCTACTACTTTATACAAAAATAACATTTATTTTATACAATGTAATATAATATAGCAAAATTTCTAATAATCTGCACATTTGTTATGAATATAATGTTATGAATATATTTTTAAATGTTTTAATCAAACATTTTTTAATTTATCAGTGGCATTAATATTTTAGTGTCTGCACAATTAAGGTGAAAAATGCTTTTTTACAAAGCAATAAATAATTGTGTGACCTCTTATTATATTTTCATAAATATGTATATATATATTTCAGGTTATTATTATGAAATTCCTTCCATTGGAGCAATAAGAATCAATACTCAGGTAAGGTTTTTAAAAACTTGATTGTATTTTTTTAGTTATAAGATATTTTCTGCTTTATATATGTACAACATGCAGAAAATAGGTAAAAATGAAAATATCTTATTACATTTTATGTAATATTGCATTTGTAACAAAGTGGTGAGTAATATGGCAATGTATTGGTTCTTATTTCAAAAAAGTTCCAAGCATTTTCAAACATCCTTATAAATAAATATATTGTTCTCAGATAAACATCATATAAAATAAATAAAATCAAAATTACTAATAATCTTACCTCACATAATTTGAACTTTATTTTATTGCAAATAATATAAATGAGTTTTTCAAGTTGTAGGTACCACAGAGAAAATTAAACAAATAAGGTCCTAATCGGAATTTAGGTACATCCTCAAACCCCTGTAAATATTTATCCCTGTAAATATATTTACTTGTTTAAAATAAACTTACAACAAAGAGATGGTTTTTTTATAGCCATTTATTTGGAAACATGCCTGCTAAATAACAAGTAAGTTAATTAATATACATTATTTTTAAAAGTTCTTAAATTACTATTTAAGTCATTGCTCAATCTTGAACATAACTGAGGATCTTTAAAATAGACCTAGTCAAAATTTAGCATAAATAACATGGAATTTGTGGCAACGAATACTGAACACATCAAATGTTGAAATGAAACAGCAGCTGCATTTGAGTCTGATGTCTAGAGTTGGCACAGCATCACATTTATTTTTTGATATGTTTAAATGTAGTTTTGAATTTCAGCCAAACAGTCTGTGATATGAAAGCAAATACATGGCTGCTTTATTATTTCAAATTTGTACAATTCCATCCAGTAAATCACAGAGCCTTAAAATAGTTTAGATTAACATAAAACAATTCACAAGGAACGTATTTCACTTATCATTGGCTTTATCACAGAACGGGAATGTTTTGATTGTGACTAGGAGAAATTGGGGTAGATATATTGTAAAAATAATATAATTCAAATAATGTTGATTCAAAGCATGTAGACTTACCATTAAAGGAGTACCTAAAGTAAGAATTAAATGATTACATACTTTCTGTCTTAATAATTTTAATTCCATATTCAGTTTTAACTCTAGACAATTTTTCTTCTGTGGAGATGATTTCTTGGACACAGCCTTTCTAGTTTTCAACCCCTTAACTTTCTTTTTTAACACATAGGAATATTTGGATGTTCTGGGAAGACCCATGGTTTTAGCAGGAGACAAAGCTAAGCAAGTCCAGTGGACCAATGTGTACCTGGATGCCCTGGTAAGAGGTGGTTGTTCAACTAAACACTGTTGTTGTAAGAGCACACAGCTGACTTCATTGTAGGTGACATTTCTCTTTTCCTTTTCATCAAATCTTTCTAAAAAACTTCTATCCAACATTTTTACTAGAATTTACATATAAAGCTGTACTTTCATGTAGGAGAGAACTACAAATATAAAGTGTTACTTTCTTTTCTAGTTGACCCATTGAGAATGTAAAATTTCTAACCTAGGATCTTGAATTTATGGGAACATCAATAACTTTTTGAATATCTGGGTAAAAAAAAATTCTGCCCTGGCTGGTGTAGCTCAGTGGATCAAGTGTGGGCCTGCAAACCAAAGGGTTGCCGGTTCAATTCTCAGTCAGGCCATAAGCCTGGGTTACAGGCCTGGCCCACAGTAGGGGGCACGTGAGAGGCAACCACACATTGATGTTTCTCTCCCTTTCTTTCTCCTTCCTTTTCCCTCTCTCTAAAAATAAATAAATAAAATATTTTTAAAAATTCTGAAGGTCATGGGAATTAGTACCTGTTACAGCAGGTTTTGAAGAAGAATTTTGAAGTATGTTGAAAGTAGGCTTCATCTAGCAGAAGCATGTATATGCTCCACTAATCAAGCCAGATCCAACACAACTCAGAAGTACATTCTCTTAGGCAAAAATTCTAGCTTATCTTGTCCTGACCTGTGTAGCTCCGTTGGTTGGGTGTCATTCTGCAAAGCAAAGGGTCACTGGTTTGTTCCCTGGTGGAGACACATGCCTAGATTTCGGGCCAGGTCCCAGTAGGTGGTGCATGAGAGGCAGCCACACATTGATGTTTGCCTCCCTCTCTCTCCCCCCATTATCCTCTCTCTAAAAACAAATGAAATCTTAAATTAATAAATAACCTTTTAAAAAATATGTACCTTATCCCAACTTTGTAACAAGCCTAATCACCTCTTCATATAAAATCTCTTGCTTAGGTCAATCGCAGGTATTTATGAAATAGGCCATTGAAGTGATCAAATCTGGTGTGAAATAACAAAGCATGTTGTCTATTGCACAGTTAAAATTTCAAGCAGGTACTCCATTTTATTTTACAGAGGTGGTTCTGAAATGTGGGTGATTTTGCCCTCCACAGGTCACTTGGAAATATCTAAAGATATTTCTAGCACAGTGACTGAGGTGGAGAGGGGCTGCTGCTAGCGTCCAATGGATTGAGCCCGGGATGCTGCTGAACATCCCAGGAGGCACAGAAGAGCTTCCCACTCCCACCGCACACACGCAGCGAAGAATCGTCCAGTTCAAAATGTTAATAGGGCTAAAGTTGAGAAATCTTCTTTTAATGTGAATTTTACTTTCCTTATGTGAAAGTTATAGATAGTAATTACCAGACTTAAGATGTATTCACATGCTGAATGTTAATAAGATTTATTAATGATTTTGCTAATGTAATATATTAGAGAGAATTAAAATACTAAGCTCTCAAAAGTACATGTTAATTCAATAACCCATTTTTCTATTTAAAATTCAGTTATATGCTGATTCTGCTTTTTTGAATGCAATGATAAACCCAAAGGGCAAAATGCAACCCACTTAAAATTACTTATCACTTGGTTCTTGTAAAATAAACATATACAGGAAGTTAGAAGAAAAATAGGCACTATTAGCAGCAGCCTTGCATGCTAAGACAGATAAAGCAAAGCTTACTTACCTCAGGCCCTAGTTAAAATTGCTTCCCAGTGCTCCCTCTTGACATCACTTATTTATTTAAGGTCACATGGTCATCTAAAGCTATGGTCAAATTTTTCGCTTTCCCAAATCATCATAGTACAAAGTATGATAGGAGGAGCCAGTCATTATGCCCGGCTGTATTTCCTGTGACCAGAAGTTCATTAACCAACATGTGTGCATTGTTGGTAAGGTTCTTACTGATAGCACAAATGTCAGTAGGAAGACATTTTGTTTCTAAACATGTTGTTCTATAAGCTGAAACTAAATGTTAAAAAAGAAGGCACAGGGTATTCTTTTTACTGACTTGAAAATGAAAAGTGACCCATCTTGTATGTCTAAGCATTTGTTTATAATCTCTGCACATAGCAGATTCAAATTGTATGCTGGTCAAAATAACAATTATGTTAAGAAGGAAAAACTTAAAATATTCCAATCAAAATGTAATAAAAATAATGAGCAAGTGAAAAGAGCTCAGGAAATTCAGAAGAAAGAAGCCCTATATTTGGGGATGAGTAGGGTAAGATTTAAAAATGGTGACATATTAGCTGATTTATGACCCCAGGTAAGGTTTCTGTAATAGGTGGTGAGCAGTGAACCACATGTGGGGTGAGGTGTGCAAGTTACAGAAGTGCTGGGTGCATTGAGGGAATGACATCTCAGTTAACTTTTGGAGATGATGGGAGATAAAGGACAAAAATGAGACTGGGACAATATTGGGAGATAAAGTAAGTTTTTTTAATAAAAACAAGGGAGAAAGAGCTGGACTCTAGAAAATAAATACCAGATATATTCCAGAAGAACAGAAGTCTTGTTTAATTTTTCTTTTTTGTTCTTTAGAGATTTGTACAGTGCCAAGGAATAGAGTGCAGTTTTTTTTGTCTGCTTTATAAATAAGGAAGAAAGTGAAAGTTGGACACTAATAAGTAGATCCATGAATTTATCTAATATATTAGTCTACTGCCTCATTTTAGAACACATTATAATATTTATAAGCTGGCTAGGATAGTCTATACAAGTGCAAAGTAATCCAAAGAAAAATGTTATATCCATATATATATATTACACTACACTAGGACGTATAAAACTATGCATATATATATATATATATATAATATATATATATATTATAAATCAAATAGAAAGTTTGCCAAAAGGAATCTGTAATGAATTATCTTTTGGGTACTAGTTTTATGAATGATCTGTAACCTTGATTTTATTCAGGTGCAATATATTCATTGTGAATATTAACTTGCATATTTAATTATGGATGTTTTCATTGTCAAATATTCTTGTTTAGGTCTAGAGAGCTAATGTGTGTATCTTTGTGCACTCAAGTACATGCAGTTTTCTTAATTTCATTCTTCTCCCCAAATTTGCTGTCTTGTTCTGCTAAAAGCCTCTCTATGATCATCCTTCCTTACCCGATTCAGTTTCCATTGTTTTGTCCCTTCCCACATGTGGGGTCTGAAACCACAGCCTAAGAGATTTTCTCCATAAGCCCATGCTGTTACTGGAATGAGAACAGGGGTCATGAGATTTGGATGTAGCATTATTATGCACAAGAAGATTCTCTTATATTTTCCACTAACACCATCAGCAATTTAAAGATTATTTACATAGTGACTTTGTTAAAAATGGTGTTTGACATGACATAGTGGTGATATATATTGGGTTGGTCAAAATTCTGTTTAGTTTTTTCTGTAAAATAAAAGATACGGTTTTCATTTTTACCAATAACTTTATTGATTTAGATATTTTGAGTATGTCGGCTATCTCCCATGTAGTATTACATTGATTTCAGTTAATGCCTTGATTTGATCACTACAGCTTCAACTGGTCTACCCAACTGGGGACCATCGTCCAGTGAGAAATCTTCACAAACCACGTTTGACATGTTTGATCAGTCACAGCACCTTCTCCATACACTGCACAAATCTCTTTTTGCATTTCAGTTACATTTTTACCTTTCATGAAATAATAAAACATTATATGCCAAAATGTTTATTTTCTTCCATTTTCAATATTAAAATGACTACACAAAAATTCACCAATTTTGATTTTCTTAAATCAAAATTTTAAAATGCACACTGATATGACAGCTGTCATGATACAACCTAATGATGTTTCAAATGAAGTTAAAGACAACCAAGTGGTACTGGAGCCAACTAACAGAACAAACCAAATGGACTTTTTGGCCAACCACAAATATATGTTTGTTGCAGATGAGAGTAGTAAAGAAAAGGCAACCTCTGACTTGAAAATCAGCTCATTTGGACTGATCCATAGGTTCATTATAACATTATCTACAGACTGATTTGTTATTGTTATCATAACTGCTTTTATGACTAGTCTTCCATAATTGGTGCCTGGAGTTTTTCTTTTCTCTGCATCATTTTGCTTTGTCAGAAGTTACTCTTTATTTTGGAGGGTATTTAGAAGCAATATTGCTTTTTTTTTTTTTAGTTTTATTTTATTGATTATACTACTACAGTTTTCCCAGTTTATCCTCCTTTGCCCCCCTCCACCCGGCACTCCCACTTCATCAGGCAGTCCCCACAGTGTTACCAAAAAGACCCCAGAAATGCAGTGGCAATACATATTTCTTCCATTCACAAATGCTACACATTTGTAAAGATTTTACCATAAAGAAAAAAGTGGAGGGGCAGGCTTACTGAAATGTTTAGTTTCAGTTGATTTTTTTAAATCTTAAGTTATTTGCAATGCTCTTGTAGAGTAGTATTTTAGATGTTTCGTAGCCGCTGAATAGATCTTTATTATTTTTACTACTAGTTTTTTGCTGCTCTTTATATAGTATAAAAATGCAGTGTCAGATATCAAAGACTAATGCAGTGTAACAGACATTTAATCGTAATCTTAATTTGCCTTTTTTCTCTGAATCTATTTTAGGAACTGGGACTTGTCATTACTGGAACTCTTCCGGTCTTCAATATAACCGGCCAAGTTGAAAATAAGACAAACTTAAAGGTTAAAAGTTAATTGATAACATTAATAATAATAAATGATGAACTATGACTTTGAAGCTCAGTGTGGATAAGATATTTCTATAAGGAAGTTCATACAGTATAACTGTCTGTGGGTCGTAAGTAAAAGGCAGCAGCTGCTTATGTGATAACCACCTGGGGAAAAGGAAGTACAGGTCAAGTTCTCTGCTTCCCCAGAAACAAGATTCAACTTAACTCTATGTAACTGTGACCTGATGAGAACACAAGTTCAGAGACTGGGAGTTATTATGTGATAAAAGGGCTATACCATTGTGTGCACATTTTAAAATGCATCTATGATATCCATGTATTTCAGAGAGGAAGTCCAAAGAAAATCATGGTGATGTGTGTACCACATGTACATAGAGGTGTATTGAATGAAGCATTCCTCCTCCAGCTCCCATTCAAACAATTGTTATTTTAATCATCATGTAACTTAAGAATCTGATTCAAATAAATAGTTCTTTTTATTTTTTCTATCTTTAAGATTCAGGAAAAATACTTGAGTTTCATGAAAAAATATTTATTTCTATAACACTGGTAATATTGCCAATGCAATAAAATGCTACCCACCTAAAATTCTGAAAGTTCTGAAAAATATATATATCTTTTACTTGTTAATTTTCATTTCTCACTTTTTTTTAATACTTTTGGCTTAAAAGTAGGGTTGCATTCTTATTCCTTAGTTTGCATCAAAAAGGATTGAGGAATGCTGGGGAATACTGAATTTTCATTTTGCAGTTTGGTTGACATTCTTGATTTGAGGGACATTTATTTCCAGTTTATGATATAATGAAACCTATTACATATAAGCATTATTTGTTTCATTATTATAAATTTCAGTTGAGCTCCTTATTTTAATAATATAGCCATAGAAAGCATTGCTTCTTCTTCTTTGGAGGCCCATTACCATTGTTAAATATCTGCAAGTCATAATAATATAATCCACTGAGGAGGGCTTCTCTATCTCCTCATATGACTGTATTGGATTACTTTAATTTGGGACTTTGCTCAAACTAGGATTGGTTCACAAGAAACAGCATAGTTGTTAACATAACTTTTTCATTCTTTGTGTACCTACACAAAGTTTAAAGAGTCCTTATAATAACTATAGACTGGATTTCATAATTTTCTTTGTAACATTTTCATTTATTTTACAATTTATATAATTCTATTTAAAAGAAAAATTCCTGCCCTGGCTGTTGTAGCTCAGTGGATTGAGTGCTGGTCCGCAAACCAAAAGGTCTCCAGTTCAATTCCCAGTCAGGGCACATGCCTGGGTTGTGCACCAGGTCCCCAGTGGGGGATGCCTGAAAGGCAACCACACATTGATGTTTCTCTCCCTCGCTTTCTTCCTCCATTCCCCTCTCTCTAAAAATAAATAAAATCTTTTTTAAAAAATTCTGATTTTATATCTTAACACTGTTTCCACTTTTATATCCTGTAGAATACTGTGATAGCAGTTTGCCAACCAGCTTCCTTGACTTGCAGCTAAATCTATGTTACCCATTCTTTGGTATTTAAAGGAAATTAGCAGCAAGCAGAAACTGTTTTTGAGGATTTCTGCTACTTTATTATCAATAAATTCACAGGCTTTTCAGGCTAGTTACCAATACACAGACACTAGCAACAGCAAATATCTACTGTTTTCTTATTCCATATTGCCCAGCATCTTTAAGCTAGACATTTTTGTGTTTCTGAATGATGCAGTCCACCACAAAGTCAGTCTACAGCTACACACATAGACACACTCACAGAGCTCTAGCTGCTGACTATACAGTAGCAATAAAGTTAAGTATTAGGGGTGATGAGTACAAGAAGTATTAAAAATTTAATATATTTTTTAACTTTTAAGCTCAATCATCAAAATTTTATTTTTAAGGTAAATAATAAAAGTGAAAGTTGAGAATTACTGTTAGTCTTTTAAATTGATACATATATAGCATTTTATATATATGGCATTATATATATAAGTATATATGTTATATATATGTATATAAAATGTGAGCTAGTATGGCATACAACCAATGTCAAGGAAAGGAGATAGATAATGTAATGATTGTGTAGAAATATGTAAATATTGGGTACAAAACGCTACCTTTTTGCTCTCTTACAGAACCAGCTGATTCTTGGTGTAATGGGGGTTGATGTGTCTTTGGAAGATATTAAAAGACTAACACCACGTTTCACAGTAAGATGCAATTTACCCTTTTAATACCTTTTCTATTTTAAAACTCTGTACTAATTTAATTTTTCCATAAAGCATTAAGTAACTCCCAAAATTTGTGCAGTTATGTTAGCAAAGGAACTAAATGTTAAAAGGATCCTTAAGATAAAAAACGAAGACACTGTGTTATCCTTTTTTATTCTTTAAAATGTATATTTAAGATTTTTTTTAAATGAGAATCTCTATCTAAATGTTTCTGTTGCTGTTGATGTTGTTTGTTTCCAGCTGTGCCCCAATGGCTATTACTTTGCAATTGATCCTAATGGTTATGTCTTATTACATCCAAATCTTCAGCCAAAGGTATGTATATAATTTGTTTCCAGTGATTAGTGTCCTATAAAATTAATGATTGATGTTATTAATAGGCTTATAATTTGAAAGTTCACTATATTGTACTAAATAGGAGACAGCATTATTATATCTATAATGTTAATATATGACAAGACCACAGTTTATAAAATATGAAAGTGTGAAAGCAGTTTTCATTTTCTCTTACCAATTTAGCTATGCAAAATTTAGCAAACCAATATTCCTATCTTAAGAATAAGAATATCACCACTGGTGCCTGAGTTCCACACACCCCTCTTGAAACTTCATTTAAGGCTATAGTGTAGTCAAGGCAATTGCCCCACCCTGGTGTGAACTGAGAAATAGAAGCGATGTTCTGCAGTGCATAGGCTGCAATTTCTGTTGCCCTTTTCTTCCTGTATTATCTCCCTTTCATCTTCCAGAGTGTTTTCCCCTTACTTTTGATCAAACTTGGAAAAATATGTATGCAATTTGATAAGTAAAACTCCATGGGATGGACTTTAGAAATGGGAAGTGTTTATTAATCAGTGAGTTATCAGAAAGTAATAAAACTCTGTAGATCAACCATTTTATCTTTATGTCTATATTTTTAAGATGTAAAGTATTTTCTTAAGTATCTCAACTTTTTTCACTTTTTATTAATTTTCACAAGTAGGGTAAAATTTATTTACTAATTACAATTGGTATAATCTTATAATTGTACTTTATAAGCATTTTCAAATTGTCAACTTTGATGATAATACTGAAGATTACTTAAACTGCGCTGTAGTGAAATATATGTAGACTTCTGCATAATACCTTTGATTTCCTAGTCATAGATATTTAATGTTAGTCATATTTTAGGACATATGCAAATATATGAGCACGTACACACATTACACACATAAAGTTGAGTCATTTAAATACTGTCAAATCAATATAAGAACCATTGATATTAAAGCAAAAACATAATAAATGATTATAATGAATGTCTATTCTAATTTTTTTCACTTTGGAACTTATTACCATACAGTTTGTCATGACCTAAATATTTGCAGTTAAATATAGCTGCTGATCACCCTACATCATTTTGAAAGGTATTTTATTATACATGCATCATAGGCATTTTTTCACATGATTATTACTCTATCGGAATTCTTTCAAAACACGTCATATTAAATTCATCTCCATAGAGTTGTTTATGTGTGGCTAAGCAGTCTATGATTTTTGCATAGTTGAACACTTTTTCATTTTAAGAATTAAAAAATGGTGATATTACTTTTGGTTTTTGTTTATCCAGTCTATTTTAAATTATGTTATCATAACTAAGGTGACTAAAAGTAATGGCAATGTGATGTGCTAAAGGGTGTGAAGGATCCCAATTTTCATGACTGCAGGTCTTAGTTCATTCTCCAAAGGAAACTAAAATATGTCATAGACAAGCAAATAAAATGTAATGTGAATAATGTACATATAAAGTATATACAAAAATCTATCAATTAGACCTAATAATTTGAAAAAGATTTCCCCTTTCTATATTCTTCTACTAATAACCAATGTTTATGTAGAAAATATTTATGACTATTTGAATGATATTAATATATATGTGGCTCATATTAGTACATAGTTTAGAAAAATTCATACAATTACAAAGAACATATGAATTCCATAGGAAGTCCTTATTATAGCCCAGGTATGCCAGGTAGTTTTCTCAGGGTTATATTAATTTTTATATTTTATATAAAATTATTAAAAGTAAGTATGCAATGGAACATTTAGAAAAAAATATTTTAGAAACCATTTCATTAATATTGTTGAAAAATGTATTTTTTCTGAAATTCATACTTGTTAATTCTCATCAACATGTTAAATATTATGATTTCTGTTTTTTAAGGGAAAAGTATACTTGACTTTACTCAGATCTTTATGAAGAGTAATAAGCCAATTCAAAAATTTAGCAACTCTTAAAAAAAGTAGCAACTCCACTGAAGATATCAAGGTATCATAGACAACACTTTCATCGATCCGTTCTTGTAGCTGTTGCATTCATGGTACTTCTGCCTATGTCCATCAATACCTCTGTAGTCCTTATTTCAAATTGTCCTACAAAGGAAAATGTCAACAATATAGTATGGCTCTTCTTACCTCTTTTAGATCCCAACTTACTCATTATGTGCAGGTATAAGCAACTAACTACTTAGTTGTATCTATTAATATCAGCACACCAATCATTTATGTATATAGAAATAATAGTATTTTCTTCAAAATTACCTTCCTTTTATTTTTTCCATCATTTTTATATAGGATATATTACTGTTTTTGTATATGGTGTATATAGATGAAAATTTATTTTGATAGATAGTAGATTGTTTATGCAAAACATTGGTTGTAAAAATGATATAAGTGAGCCTGGTAAAATTGAAAACTGCTGCTCTGTACAGGCCCCGAGTACTAAGGCAGTGCAGTTGGTTTAGCAAATCTGTTCATGGGCATCTGTCTGCTTCCCAGTTGTTCACTGTTACACAGGAAACTGCTATGATGAACAGCACAATTTCTGTTTTGTGGGTAATGGTGTATGCAGTGCAGAGAGGTACAAGAACATCATAAAAGGATGATTTAGTTTGCAAGACAGATGTTTTAGTAATTGACAAATAGAAAGGACCAATACAGTAACAGTTGGTATACTACCAGTATTCATTATAATTCTTTCATCAGCAATTACCAAAAGAAAAGGAAAATAATCATTATGATGTATTTCAAAACTCATTTTAATTATTTTTCCATTTTTGTTTCATTGGCATAATCAGAGAGGTATATATATTAGATATCTCATTTTGATCAGTCTTAAATATTTATCGTAAAAGGAACAATTATCATAAAAGGAATTATGTTTTACAATACTTAAAGTAAATCTACTCCCCCTTTGTTGCTCATGTCCGTGAGTCATTTTTCATTTTGGGGGAATATATGGGGACTAAATGGACAAAAAGGAAAATAAATACAGTACAGGTTAAATCAAAAAATAAGACAAATCTCTAGTGTTATGAATGAATTCTCCATTAGTTCCACACATACAACATTGGTGTCACTGAGGCTCAATTTGTAAGGGTTTAAAATTGACTTTTTAAAATAATCCTATATTTATATTTTAACATATTTGAATTATGTCAATTCTATAAATTCCTTGTTTCCTTATTTTAATCAGCATAAAAATTGTCTGAGACCAACCATATTTCTCACTTCCCACTTCCTCACTCTTTTCCTAGGAAAAAAGGAGAGTATGAGTAGTTATTTCCCTAAAAAGAACTTCTGAGTATTCTTACTAGCTTAACATTTTTTATTTACCAAAAATATTTTTAAGCTTGTATTTTATTTATTGACTCTTTATGAACTCTATGTTACCTGTTTCTGGTAAAGGAAATATCTGATCAAAATTGATTATGGGCTAGAACCCTCTCCTATGTTGAAATGTAGTAGGATCAATTACCATTTTTCTGTTGCTTTAGCCTATTGGTGTAGGTATGCCAACAATTAATTTAAGAAAAAGGAGACCCAATGTTCAGGTAACTGAATGTAGTTAGCAGTGCCTTCAGATTTGCTAAATCAGAGTCGGAATTAAGCTTCTTATTCTAAAAGTGTATGATTGATGCCGCCTTTCCTGACATCAAGCTTTCAGAGCATGAGCTAAAGATGAGCATCATTTCTCAATAAGTTGAAGCAAAAATGTTATTAATGATGGCAGAGGGTATGCACTGGATAACTAAAAGTTGCTAGCAAATTATGTAATAATAATGTTAACAATCAGCATAATCATAATCAGATGGCTTCTAAAAGTAAATTGATTAAATATTGCGAAATCAATGTCACACTTGTGTAATCCTAACAATTTGTTTGTAAAATTAACTTCTAAATGGAATTAAAATACAATTCTGATGTGAGAGTTTCTATGAGCCATAAAATTTAAGCCAACATTGTTTGATTTTCTAAATGCATATTTTTACATTAGAAATTAGAGAAATTTCTCTTTAGCTAATTAAAGAAGTCCAAAATTAAAAATAGACATTATGAATTGTTGCTTGGCAAACTCATTACAAATTTTTTTCCTTTGGCAAGAAAATTTAAACTTTATTATGTGTATGCATATTTCTTTAAGCACCCTAAAATAATTAATGTAAGAGGATATTTCCTGTGGTTTAGTACAGTTTAGTAAAATAATTTAGAATTTAAAAATAGTTTGACGTGATTTAAGGTTTCATAAAAAAGCTTATATTTCTTACAAAAGAAAGTATGTGGCATAATAGAGATGGTCCCCTACTTATGGTGGTTTGACTTAGAAGTTTTCAACTAGCAGTGGTGCAAAAGCAATATGCATTCAGTAGGAATCATACTTTGATCTGTTTCTGGGCTAGCAATATGTGGTATGATGCTCTCTCATGATGCTGGAAATGGTAAGTGTTCTGAATACATTAAAGTAGGTTAGCTGAAGCTATGGTGTTCAGTAGGTTAGGGGTAGTAAATGCATTTTCAGCTTACAGTATTCTCAATTTATGATGGGATTTTGGGAACATAACCTCCTCATAAGTTGAGGGGCATCTGTAATGGAAAGGTAGTATGATATTAGGACGAAATCTTTAAGCCAGAAATTAGTAGAGCTGAGGTTTAGTTTGCTTCTACTTACAGCCATCACTGTAAACTTGAGTAATTAAGCCCCACAGTACTTCAGTTTTTTCTTTGAAAAGCAGGAAGATTGAACTAATAATTGTTTTCTACCCCACAAAGTATATCTGCCTAGGAAATAAAATATATCTATACATCAATTTTCAGGCACTATTTGTCAAAAATTCTTGTTTAATTTGGCCAGGGATACAATCCAGCCTTCTGTTAGTTTTTAAACTAATCCAGGCTGTTCTGAAGAGTAGAGCCCCTGGATTAGTAGCTTCAGTTTCCTTCCAGCTCTCAGATTCCATGACTGTTGGAATCTCATGTTGTTGACATCAGTCTTTATGTCTTTATGATTCCTATGGAGGTTAAAATTATACTTAAGTCTTTCCTTGATGTAGTTGTTTTATGTTACTCTTCTTGCATGTTTCATTCTGTGTTTTTACCTTAGCAGTCATGTACATCTTAGTGAATTTTTATTTTTGTAGTCCTTTCATATATTGCATGTAAATATTATGATATAACTGAAAGATGAGCAACCTGAAAATTGGTTTGTTTTATTTTTGTTTTCCTTTAAGGAAACCCCAAATGGCAAACTAGCAGCCACACAAGACTTCTGAAATTTGGGAATATTTTTAGAACTACGTATGTAGTATTTTTAATAATACTAATTACTTCGATTTAAAATTTGTTAACAACATTGCCTTTTATTTTAGTTCCACAAATTATGTGGTTATTCTGTCAGTTGATAATCAAATTTTACAAATAAGAAATGTTCAATATTTAAAATATAAGACATAAGTATTGGAAGTGGAGGAACTTGATGCCAGTTCTCAAGCCTCTTTTGGTGCTTTCTTATTAAAAGATTCTGCTTTTGAACTTTTCAATCACTATGCCTGTGATGGGTCTTTTAAAAAAATGGTCAGCCAGATTGCCATTTAAAAAGTACCCTGACATGTTTCTTTTATGATTTCATTTTCTTCTCCGTGTCTTTATATGTTGGATTGGGACATGATCTTCATATTGCCAATTCTTCCTGATAATGCCTCCTCCATGCATGCTGTTTGGGTCTGGTCATGCTATGCATTATCCATTGCATGTAAGATAATACTCTTATTTATGTTTTGATTATTTTGACTTTGTTGTGCAATGAATTTATTAAAATCTGAATGCTGGTATGATGGTGTTTGTGTGAGGATGATTTATTTTATGGGACTTTAAATACGCAATTCTAATACTATTGTCAACTTTAGAGTATCCGTTTGTTCTCGTTTTGTTATTTTAAAGAAAAGATTAGAATTATTTTTAATGTTGATTTTTCTTTTCTTTATATAAAGTATACTACATGTCAAATCAATAAGATGCTGTCCCAACAATGGTCAGTGTTGAATGATACACTACTTATTTTCAATATTCTAGAATCCTTTGATTCTAGGTACTAAATTCAAATCCAGTGAATATTTATATAAATTTGCCTTTAAAAATCCTCGTTCATCAAAATCCATGGGAATCATACATTTTTATTGTTTAGGTGGAGTTACTCTTTAAAGGAAAGCATTTTTGTTAAAATTATAAATTAATACATGCCACATGTACATTTCGATCCACTTTAATTACGGTTACTTTCTTGGGTAGTCTGTCATCCTAAAACAGTATTTAAATAATGATGATCTCAATATATTTTTTAAGAGGCTGTGAAGGTGAAATTAGTAAAATTCCAGTGACCTTACACTAATACAACATAGTTTGTATTCTACCTAATTAATTATCGTAGTTAAGTGGTATTCATTTTATTAAATATTAAATATCCAGTTCCTAAAATGTTGCAACTGTAAAATTATTGACACATTGCTATTTTATTGTTCTAGTGAACTACAGAATTCTACTATGGCATGTTGCACTTATCAACTGCTGTCTGATAATGAGTATAGTTTTGTTTATCAGACAGTTAAATAAGTCTTCATTTTGTAATTGACAAATTTTTAAATGTCATGTGAGGTAAATTTGCCAGGCTAACTTTTAATTTGTTACATTTAAAAATAAGTAAAGAACTGTCTTCATTCCACAGTGAATTTTATTTATTATTGGGCTCCTGCAAGAAGTAGAAGTTAGAACAGAATTTAGTGAACCCAGGGGTTATTATTCTAGTTAGACTGAAGTTACAATAGCTAATCTTTATTAAAATTCTTATTACTTAACCACAAATTTTCTTATAAAATGTACTTAATCTTACTTATTAAAAATATATATAAAGTTCCTGAGAATCAAATATATGAAGCAAACTTTAATCTTTATGAATTTTAAGAAGTAAGAATACATTTCGATGAGTTTCTTGGGCTTAGCAAATTCATACATAGTTTTTAAAATATTGTCTTTCATTTAAATTTTTTATTTATAAATATAAGTAAGAAAGTATATGTATATAGTTCATTTTTATTACTAAATATGTCATCCACCTGGTTATATTTTGTCCCTTTCCATCCTAGTTAAAGAAAAAAAGCTGTGAGTGCATCTTCAATAGTCATTTTGCCCTAGAACTTGTGTTTCTAGATGTAATTCAGCATTCAAAATGAGACTGTGTTTAGTTTGTGATTAGTAATTAAAATTTACTACAGTTAAAGCTCAGATTCCTGGCATATGAATTATTATTTTAACTATACATATCTGTGAAAGAATACATCTTTATATAATTATATTGTCAGCTGTTTATTATGCCTTAGGTAAGTAACTTTTACAGATTCATTTTATACTTTAATATTAATTGAATTATTCTATATATGGCATCATTTACAATGTTATATATGTTTAACTGTTATTATTTTTTATGTAGAACCCCAAATCTCAGGAGCCAGTAACTTTGGATTTCCTTGATGCAGAATTAGAGAATGATATTAAAGTGGAGGTGAGTGTAATCAGTAGGCCTGGACAATACCCACAGGTGAGTGCTGGCAACACCCATTCCAAAAGCATCTGATGAGCAGCATCACTGCACTGGGTCCTCTCTTAGGTACACAAATTTGGATGTTCTTTTCTCTTAAAAAAATTCTAGGTCCTGGGCTCCCTCATCCAAAAGATTATATGAAAAGAATTAAATATTTGAATTTGTGTGTGACCTTTGCTTTTATCTCACTGTACAGGTAGAGATATTTTTAAGTGTTTTAATACAAATGAAACTTGTACATTTCAATCAAAAATGTACATATACATGTGGAGGATGTTGCGATAGAGTTGAAAGAAAAGTTGGAGGGAAACTAACCATTTAGCCACCCAATGAGCAATATGCACAGAGAAGCTGACATGTTTGTCTCCGAACTCTTGATTCAGAGAATTTCCGTTTTACTTTAAGACCAAAATTGTATGTCACTTCCTCTGAGAGGGTCCCCCATCAGGATAAGGATAATCATCAGTAATAATAATATTTATTAAGTACATAACATGTGTTAGTCATTGATTCTCAAGAATCTTTGAAATAGGCATTATCATCATCATTACTATTATCATTATTAATATGTTGTCCTAATGATATATTTGAGGTACCAAGAGGTTAAATAGCTTTTCTCATTACTCAGCTAGTAAGTAGCAGAGTGAGGATTTGATGTGGCTTTTACACTCCAAAGTAGAGATTTTTAAGATTCTTACAGATGGATTAACTTTTTCTCTTATGTGATGGCCACCTTTTTCTTTTATAATTTGTGGGTTTGAATTTGCACATGCTTTATACACTTTATACACTGATTCCTTCATTGTACAATAGAATTTAATTATTATAATTATCCTTGGCCAAGGCATAATGCTGGGATGTTCTAGGTGATTAAAGAATGTTGTACAGTGCTTTGACATGATAGAGTAGGATCATGTAATGTTAAAGAGCTTGGTCTTCGAACTCTCACGGGACTGTGTATGTAAGTGTAATTATTATTTAACCTCTCTTAAATCACAGTTTCCCCGTGCTCAATTTGATAAAGTAATTGACCACTCTTTTATTGATGATTCATTGAAAATATTTCATTAATGATATATTCTTATTTTTTTAAGTAATGTAAAGTGAATATAATGTGTTAGCTTTTAAAAGAGTATTCCCAGAGAATAGCTGCTTACTCTTTTCATTCAATTTGTTCTGAAATAAGATATAATACTTTAATAATAATACTTTGGTAAGTCAATTGAGTGCCTGCAATAAAGTAATTGTTTATTTTTCCTTAGATCCGCAATAAAATGATAGATGGAGAAAGTGGAGAAAAAACATTCAGAACTCTGGTTAAATCTCAAGATGAGGTAATAATTAAGTCAGGCTTATTCTTAAATAAAAATATACATGTTATTAATAATATTGTTTGTTTTCCTTTTTGTTAAAGCTATATTTATTTATAAAACAGGGGTGTCTCTAGTAAGTAAAAAGATTTTAAGGTACTCTTCTTTGCTGCAGGAGTATTTTCAATGAGATTTTTAATTCTAAGTTTTATAAAATAATGTTGCTTTGGGTTTAATGATTTATTCTTATATTAACAATATAGTCTTGAAAATTATATTTTATATCTCCATTTTATCACTATAAGAAATAAAGCACAATTTAATGTTCTAATGTTGCATTCCATGTATTATTTGGGTTTTTTAATTTGTTTTTACTTATTTCTTGGTTGATTTATCTTAGTATACTATTCATACACTTTATATAACAATTGCCTTACATTTAAATCTGAAATTAAGTCAGGAGGTAACAAAACTAACCCCATAAATCATTGGTACAGATATTTAATAAAATTTTATTGTTTTATTATTATTCCATGACATGAAAGAACTTTTTACTTGTATGCGAGGAGTATTGGATATGTCTATCTATTATCAGTCATATGTGGAGTAAATGTACATTCATATATTTGAGTATTTGAAAAAAATATAGAACTCTGAAGCTGTTAAGCTTGGAAATTCAGTGTTTTTATTGAGAGAGTGAGATCGACATTGATTTGTCATTTCACCCATCCATGCATTTATTGGTGGTTTCTTGTGTATGCCCTGACCAGGAACTTAACCTGCAACCTTGGCATCTTGGTGTATTGGGTTGATGCTCCAACCAACTTAGCTATCTGGCCATGGTCTAGTTTAAGTGTTATGTAACATTTCTCCTCAGCAGATCTTTCCCTAAAATGGAGCTAAGATCTAGATATGACATTTCATTTGCATGTGGCTTTCCTCATTTTAATATCATTAGGAATCCTCATTATAAGAACATAAGGGGAGGTATATGTCAATTTCAGTCTCTGTTGAAACTGTTTACTGCCTTAGAGGAAAGATACACACCATTCATCAGTTCTGTCAACTTCTTCATGTTGTTCCAACCCTCTGTTTTGCATATTCTTTTTCTAACTTACAGATCAACTTTGTTTCTATTAAATCACTTTAATATTTTCATTCTTAAATTTAGTATAAATTCTTTTTTTACCAATATTCATCTATATAATTTTCTTGTTATTAACAGTGAAAAATATTATCTTGTGTATTTTCTTAATCTTATTTTGATAGTATTTTTATAACTTGCTGAATACTATGTTGCCGTGTTTTTGAATAGTAACAAGTATGTAAATGTTATTTTTTTAAAAGAATTTTACTAGTCCAAAAGCTTTCTAAGTACTCCTGTCCTCCCTTCTCCCATTCTCCATTCGCATAAATAAAGCCATGAGGATGTCTGATGTATAGAGGCAACATTGTGTAGTTGCTATACCATGAATTTGTCATCATATATTTTCTGTCATACTTTTAATTAAAGTCCCCTTTAAAACTTATTTCTTCCTCAATAATTCATGGAAAATGATAGTATAAAGACCAGGGGTTGATTACATGAGACAGTGACTAAGCAAAGTGCTTAGTATGTTGCCTAACCAGAAGTAATATTTCAGTGAATGTTACCGTTCTGATGAGGATGATGAAGCTATGGTAATCTCCCCGATACTACCCTTTTCTCTTATACGTACCCTAGCATGGAATGTCTAAGACTATCTAATATTTCACAGTCCTATTCCATTATTACATTTTATTTTTCAGCCCTGGCTGGTGTACCTCAGTGGACTGAGCATGGGCCTGTGAAGCAAAGGCTTACTGGTTCAATTCCCAGCCAGGGCACATGCCTGGGTTTCAGGCCAGGTCCCCAGTATTAGGTGCCTGAGAAGCAACCACACATTGATGTTTCTCTCCCACTCTTTCTCCTTCCCTTCCCCTTTCTCTAAAAAATAAATAAGTAAAATATCTTTTAAAATATGGTTAAAATTTTATTTTTCAGGAAATATTTTCCAAGTTTGGGGGTTAATAATTTGGCATAAATTACAAAGATTTTTACATTTGTAAATCCTTAAAATTAATTTAAGTATGTTTATTTTTGTCCTGAATTTTTGCTTTACACATACCTTTACCCATAACAGAATGACCATTGAATTTAAAAATAGATCCTCACATTCTGCTCTTCGTGTAAATATACATAGGAGAAAAGGTGATAACAACTGTGTCCAACTTTCTTGTAGAGATACATCGACAAAGGAAACAGGACATACACTTGGACTCCTGTCAATGGCACAGATTACAGGTAATCAGCTAAATGCACATGTACATTGCATAAAAGAATATTCATTTCTGTGTCTTTCACCAACTTTAGTAGCCATTTTCCAATGGATGAATATTAAGGCTGCATTTTAATAAGCTATTTTCAGTGTAATAGAAATGTTACCTTTTCCAACATTAAAGTATTTAAAATCATAGGTTCTTTTTTTCCAAAATGAAAATATGGGGAAAAGTTAGGAATGTAAAATTTAGGACTAAATTTATATCACAAGTGTGACATAAATGTATTTGATATTCTGTATACTTATGCTAGTAACAATAAATGTTGACAATATACCCTTAGTGTGTAGTAATGACCTCAACTGACTTCCTCATTTAATTAGTTTACATTACTCACATTTTAGGCTGTAAATTAACTTAAGTGTAAATTTATTACATCATAGAATAATCGGATATGAAATGCTCAGTTCATATAATTTATCCTCATGAGTAGCAATTTTGCAATATCCCAATCCCTCCAATTGACTGGGCCTTGGAAAACTGGACAGAATAACACGGTATGAAAGCATGTTAGATTCTAAGACTGTTGCCTTCTTCACTTACTTTTGAATCCTTAGCACCTGAGACTGTGGCACATGGTAGACATTCTATAAATACTTACAGAATTAAAGATTAAGGTTTTTAATTTCAACCTGTCAAATTCAAAGAATGGTGTTGAAACTTTCATAGAAATATTCAAGTCTGAAGGACTCTTTGGCTACATATCAATACATAGTTAATATGTATCTAGTTAATAGCTTGTGGTGTGCTCAGCTGTTCTTTAACAACTTCCCCAACCTACACAACCTTTCAGGGGAGCCCAGAGTGCTGGAATTTCCCTGGAGTCCTAGTATTATCATTGGAAATGGTTGCCTTTTGTGTTTCTAGGAGGGTATACAGAGTAGATACAGAAGAAGAGAACATAGATGTTAATGTCGTGACTGAATACATGCCAGTCTTTCTCCACTTTTTCATTTTTGACATACTTTTGAACCTACTGAGAAACACCAGAATGACTGGTTTAATTATTTTATTTGTCTACTGATTTCTCTCTCATTTCTACTAGCCATCTCTTTACACAAACACAGTCTTTATATACTTGTGCAAATCATTATTTTCTCTTTCTTTTTTATGACTGTTGCTAGCTTTCCTTTTTTATTTTTGGATAAAAAAGGTATAACAGGACAGAAGAAATCCAGAAGCCCTGTCTCTTTAGAGATGACTTTGTGAAAAAACAAAATATCGGATGTACCGTGAAGAATGCGCTCTACACCTTTGTTCCTTACATTGACAAATTCTGAGTTAGAAAAACTGTTTCCTTTTGACCCTGACGGTGATTCCACAATGACAGGAGGTTCTACTGCAATTATAATTATGCTTTGGGGGTTTTCAATTTTCATTAGAACATACCTAAGTGTGCTTGTAATAGTCTCTCAGATGTTCCGGACAGTCAACCCCTTTTCTTCACACACCCAGACATAACACACAGTGTGGCCAGATTAATGTTTATTTCACCAGTGTTGAGCATGTCATTTCTTGTTCACAAAACTTTAGTGACTTCCTACTTTCACCCAAGTTACATTGGAACTTCCAGGTCTGAGACTCACATACTATGTCTCACCCGGCCCATGTGCCCTGTCGTTTCCCCCTCTGCCTCCCCACACACATCACTGTTTCCTGAACAGGCCCAACTTCCCTACTTCTGCCTGTCTCCCACCTGCATTCGCTTCCCCAGTCTACAGCATTGAGCCAGGTTCAGTCTCTTTCCGTGATAAATACTTCCCTGTATCTCTGTACAAATACATTCACAAATAACAATTTAGAACAGAATGTTATATCTGAATTGAAGCAAAATGGCATGCATTGATTTAATGAATGTGGTACCAAAATTTTACTTAGTGATTTTTATGTCCTTAAGCCTCGATATAAGTTAGAAACCACATTTCCAACTATAGTAATTAATTATATTAATAGAATTCTCTTGTTTTAATGAAGAGTTCAGTTTGACAATGATAAATGATTGACTTGGAAAGTGTGTTATCCACTTAACTAGTTAATCATGTTTATGCGAGTCACAAAAATATTATGTGGGATCTACCACCCGTCTGGTGGCCACTGGCTTCATTGGGCTTGAATCTCTAGGAGAAAATAAACCAGCCTTGGTCTGTTGGTTTTATCTGGAGAGAGACAGCAAAGGCTGTATATGAGGGCATCTTTGGGAACGTGGGTAGAGATCTATCTGCTGTAGGTTGGAGAAATAACTGTTGCCTTAAGATGGAAATAAGAATGTGTTAAAACTTCTATTGTATCCCTCGTGACTTTCCACACTATTTTCCGTGATACACGTAGTACAATCTTACAGAATGACATTGTGGCAGCTGCATGATATAATGTTGTCAGTTTTAATTAGAAGTTTCTCTTAGCAATAAATGCTGATGGGGTAGTAAAAATGTCCTAATTTCCCTTGTGGGGAATTTTTAGGAGACAGTCTTCAAATGCTCAGTAATTCTGCTCTACATTTTATAAATGGCAAGTGAATCGTGAAAGGTCATCTTGCTTTCAGACTAATTGCACTGCTTACTTTAATTTTAATCCCTGCATCCACTTATAGGAAGTTACCTATAAAACGAATGTAGAGATTTTCGTTAAATCCACATAACACTTTATCTCTCTGATCTTTATTCATAAGGAAAGTCTATGAATTAATTAGTGATAGAGAAAGATTTGGACGCTGGAGATAATAAGCAATCACCCATTCTGCTATCTTGACTGTATATTTAAGTTGTAACAAATAAACATTGATTGTTATGCTTCATGAAATGAATTTTTAGCTGAATATTCATAAAATGGAAAACCTGGAGTTTTGTGTTTTTTTCTGTTCTGTATTGTCCATAAAATGTGTAATGAGATTATAGTTTGGACATCAGCCCAAAATCCTTGGAAACATGAGGCTTGAATTATTTTAAAGAGGATCCCCTTCAAATGCCTAGACTTATTTGGAAACCTGGATGTGCACACCTTTTCCTGGACATTGGTAAACTTTATATTAAATATTAAAGGCAAATGCTGAATGACTCACTCGGTTGGTCAAGTTAATCTAGCATCGCTTTTTGAAAATAGTCTCACTGTCGATCTTTGAGCTATACTCATTTTTTCACTCATTAGTTCATAAGTTTCCTTTTGTATTAAAAGAATTGTGGAGGTCATTTGCAATAGTGAATGTGGATATGAAATAATTAGTTATGTCCTTCACATGTATATTAGCCATTGTGAGAGAAAAAGAACTACATACATGCAGTAGTATTATTGGAAGTTGCACAATATTCAAACGTTCTGACATCTTTTAACAGTTCTAGTGCATTATATGATTTATTAATTGGCAATTTCACAGTAATAAGGCTACCTGCCTGTCAGCTCATTATTTTGTTTAGTCATTAAGACAAGGTTTGAAGACAGGTTTGTCTGACAGTCTCAAATCTAAAACTTTCTGAACTTGATCTAAGATTTGTACTGGGCCTCTCCTCTAGTTTGCACATCTTCAGTTTAGAGTAGCCCGTGACTTTTGTACAGTACTCAGCTCATGATGTATGTTCTCTTGTACATGACAACAATTTACTAAGTGCTATGGAATATCCACAATAAATGAACTTGAAGTTTTGGTTAAGAAACAATGGGATGAGCAAGAACTCTTTCTTAGTGCTAGAAAGGAATTTGAATTTTTCCATTAACAGATTCTGTGGACTTATCTTTAAAGAATATATTTCAGATGATTATGTACATATATACATATAATAATACATTTATAATTTTAATAGCATACATTTGCTACAAAGCATTTCAACATTACATATAATTCATGAAGTTTATTTGTTTAAACATACTCTAGTATTATTCTTTTTCAACACACAGAGTGTTTTAATACACATTTCTGGATATATAGTACCCGTGACATTTCTTTCTCAGCTATATATGGGCATATTTAGAAGTTTATTTTCCATATGTCTCTTCCGATCCTCTACAGTGTAGAGAACTGGATGACTCGGGATGGCAAGACAGAATTAAGTCCTCTGTTAGCTGAATGCATTACTGTCAAAGTAATATGACTTTTCCTTCCCATGAGGAAGATTTCTGAATTTTCCATGAACTTGACGTGTTTTTTGAGTTATGTTTCATTTTTGTTTGTTTGTGTTTATGCTTCTCTTGTTTCTATTGCAGTTTGGCCTTGGTATTACCAACCTACAGTTTTTACTATATAAAAGCCAAAATAGAAGAGACAATAACTCAGGCCAGATGTAAGTACTGTGAAAGCGACTTTAGGGTCTATTTGTTACCTTCTAGTATCAGATGTTCGAAGATGATTAGATTGACTAGATTTTGGAATACCCAAGGCTTACACATTTTAGTAGCTGTTATTACCAAATCTACAGCAATGATTCTAACCCATTCCAAACATGCAAGGAACAAGAAATATTCTACATGGATAGAATATGAGCAGGTACTCCAGTCTCACTGGCAGTCCCCACCACCCTTCCCTGCCTTGCTTTGTGCTCATAGAATCATTGCAGTGCTGTGTCCTCTGTTGCTCTTGTTTTAAGGGTCTGCTAGCTGATGCAAACTGTTTCACATGCTCTACTCCTGGCTCTGTGCTAGTAAAGCTTTACCTTTTCTTTGTTTCTTTTGTTTTCTTGTTGTTGTTGCTCTTGGCGAGAGTAATACTGTGCTCCACATGGTCTACTTTGTTGGAATACATTAAATTTCACCAGTTTTTGGCTTTGGTTTGGCAATGAACTCTTTTCTCATAATCCAAATTAATGTCTTCAATAACTCAAATGAGTTAGGTGTTTTTAAAGTATCCTTTGGAATGTGGAGTAATTATTAACACTAGTGCATATTTCAAGTCATCATTAATCTTTGTTTTGGGTGACTAGATTTAGTAACGTAAAATGACCATCATATCCTTGGCACATCACTCAATTATTACTAACAACATAAATATTTTGGTACAGTAAAGTAAAAGTATGTATATTTATGTATACCTTTTATATATGACTTTAAGTAAACTAGATTTTTTTCATTTTTATGTCAGTCCTTTCTTTGTCTCTGTAGCCCTGGTTCTCATAGTATATTGCAGTATTTTATACATTTGTATCACAGTCAATTGAAAGATATGATGGTCCTTTAACAACCAGCAACTTTGCATGAGCTAGTTCTTTGTGGATAAATGAGGGGATGACTGGTGGGTCTTTGATGATTGGTAAATGCTTCTGTTTATAGGCTAACATCATTGGTATTGCACCTGCATTAAACACTTTGCAAAATGGACCCTTGAAATAACTCCAGTACAAGAGAGTTCTCTAGTAGTAACTGACAGGACATACTTTCTATTTTTCAAAAATATGTGTCTTCTTTTCCAGACTACAGCTGTACATAAATGAACCTTTGATCTATACACAATATTTTTATTCAAGAAAATCATTGAATAAAATATTGTTTGTGACCCCCTTTGCTTTACCCTCTTTTTTTTTTGTTTCCCTGCTTTCTCTTTCTGATGGATTTTGACAGCAAAAAAGGGCAAAATGAAGGGCAAGTATTTTCTTGTTGCTTAATTTTTTTTCTGTTTAGTACACTTGACATTTCCACTGATTTTTCCATTCCTGTTGGATATTATCCTTTGTGCATCTCATTTGCTATATTTTCCTCCATGATCACTCCAATCTTAGTGACCAAAAATGGGGAAAAAATGCTTGTGTTTTCAAATAGAACCTGTTTCACATTCAAGTTTTTTTAGACAAATACTTGTGTGTTTTTATCCTTCCACTTACTAATTCATACTAATGTGAAGAATGTCACTAATTCACTAAGGTATTTATTGAAATCATTTTTTTACTATAATATTGGTGAAAATTTTTTATGTTGACATTTTAAATAAAATGCCTCTGATGTAACATTGACATCAATTGTTGTGGTTATAGTACAGTTAGTAAGTGGGAAAATTATAAACAGCATTTCCTCTGATATAACTTTTTAATCCATATTATAAAATAAAAGTTGATTTTATTTCTGTAAGTATGGAGGAAATTTTATTAATTGATGTGTTTTGATTTGGGTTATAAGTAGACTATTTTAACTTTTTTTGTTAGATTACCTTTCTAATGCCTTCTTCTCGCCATAGAATTTCAGGATCTATACTCTGGGTTGCTTATCTAACCCTGTAACATTATCTTTGCAGATTCAGAGACACTGAAGCCGGATAATTTTGAAGAATATGGATATACATTCTTAGCACCAAGGTCAGTTTTGTTTTCATTTTACTGTATTTTATTTATTTTTATTTTTATAGCTTGTGTGAATGACAGCAGTTCTGACTTGGGGTCAAGACTGCTCTTGGTTCATTTTATGCCAAATTATGAAGCCAAAGGGAACAATAACTTTAAAACTGAAAGACAACCCTGCTCATTCATATATTTAGCCATTCAGGTACTGAGTGAGCAGGTACTCACTGTGCTTAGTGGCTGACATGGGGACACAATGGTGAACAACACAGATGTAGGGGTTGCTTTTGTTGCAGCTAAGTGTGCAACAAAACCATTTGTGTTATTGCATTTGTGAGTGCGTGTGCCATACAGACTCTAGATATGTATGTTTTGACATGTTTATATATATACATACATACACAGATAGATATGTACAGATATATATGTATATATGTACACATAAGAATATATAGATCTCATAGAAGGTCTTAACCTCATATTAATTTTTTAATATACTCACACAACTTTCTGCGAAAACATGTTATTATATAGTGACCTTTTTGCACATACTTTTTGAGACTGACCTTTTTTCCTCCTGCCTAATATTATTTCTCCCTCATATAATCCCCCTTGTTTATTCCAAATATACATTTTTATCTTTACTTCTTTTTTTGTAATTATTTGAAACTCTATTCAATTATCCAAGTGTATTTCTTTTTTTTTTAATTTTATTGTTTTTCTTAGTGTTTGATTGCTACTCTCTTGCAGACACATGTAATATTCAACTTAATATAATTTTTATAAATCTAGATCAATAAAGATTTTCAACCTTTTTCATCTCATGACATATACAAACTAATTACTAAAATACTGCAGCACATCAAAAATATACTTTTTTGCTATTCTGACAAAAAAGGTATAGTTTTGATTCATTCGCAGTGGAAGGCTATTGTTGTGCTGGCTGTTGGCATTTTTTATGTGATGGTCTAAGAGAAAAGAGGTCACTGCCCTGACTGAACAGCCAGGTATTGCGTGTTTTTAAAATTCCTGCAGCACACAGGTTGGATCCCTGTGCTAGACTAAATTATTGAAGAAAATAGATTTGGGAACTTGTATTATTAATTTCTCACATTTTATACTTCTCAAAGGAATTACTCTAAGAACCCAAAGAAGGCTCATAAAAACTGGTCAGAGTTATTCTTTTATGTTACTTTTGCGTAAGGAAACCTGAATTTTTTTATTCTTCCTAGGAATAGGGAATATATATTACCTTTTGAGAACTCTCCATTAACAGCATATTCTCAGCTTCATGGATGACTCTGCCCTCAAGCATCTTCTGTTGCTTGAACTTTTCGGTATTTATACTCCTCATCACACCCTTCTTTGACACCCTGCCACCTCTTGCTTGATGACAGACTACTCCTAAAGTCTTCCCCCCTGCCTGGTGCATATTCACTCTATTTCATACACTTCTTTTCTTCTGATCCCTTCCACGAGGGCGCTCGCTGCCTTAGGCTCTCTTCCCCTCTTGTTCTGGGTCTACAAACATACCACCCATCTAGGCCATGTCTACAGCAGGGAGTGACGCCTTCTCAATCTACAAGGTGGCCATAACATCTAGAAACAAAATAGACATATTGTGTGGTTTATTGACATTAGATTACAGTATAGGAACAACAATATATTTCTTTTCAGACTTTATATGTATACTACATGTTTCATTATTACACTTATATTTATGGAAACTTAACAGGAGTTTCTTCAACATACTTCAAATTCAGTATCTCCTTAACATTTGTCCTCTTTGGAGAACTTTCCTTCCTGGTTGCCTCAGTGAATGCCCAATTTTGAAACCTGGTAGTTGTCTTTATTCCCTTTGCATTATATCTAACTTCTAATCAATCACTAAGTCCTACCCAGCAGAATTTGCCTTGTGAGTGTCCAGGCTGTCTGTCAAACTCTGCTGCCTTTGTCTAGGAGCAGGCCACCACCTTCTCTCTCCTGAACTACTGCAGCTGCCTCCTAACTGTCTCCCCACCTCCAGCATCTCCCCCTTATTTCCCAACCGTGTCTTCTTTTTGTAACACAGAAGGTTTCTAAAATGTGAATAAAATGTTTCTCATCTGCTAAATACTAACCAATGTTTCAATATTGTCTTCACCATAGTCTGCCCTTTATATTATGAATTTCAAATGCCCTGGCACTAGGTCTCAGTTTACCAATGTCGTTCTTTCTACTGTAGACCATCAAACTGCAGTCTCCAGACTGCTGGGCTGTTGTACACAAATGCTTTTCTTGGAACACAGCCATACTCATTTACTGATGTGCTGTCTTTCACTATAATGGCCAAGTTCAACAGCTGTGGCATAGGCACTATATAACCCACTGACCCTGATTCATTTACTATCTGACTTCTCAAGAAAAAGTTAGCCAACCTTTGCTCTAAATTCCAGCCACACTAACCTTTTCTCAGTTTCTAAAGGGACTGCTTTTATGCCTTACCTCTTTTTACTCACTAATTTTCTTTTCTATTTTGGACTATACTCAGACACATCCCATCCCTTACCACACCCCACATCCAAACCCCTTGATCTGGTAGTATCTTTCCCATGTCCACTGGATTAGACATCCTTGCGGACTGCCTCATAGAATCATGTATTTCCTTCTCCAAGAGCAAAAATACCAGAGAAGGGAAGCGATGTTGTAAGTTGAGGCACAAAGCGATGAATGCCCACTGCAACACATTTTAAGCTCTTTATGTGCATAATTATATTTACTGCCCAAAAGAACTCTGTAACAAATTAGTGTCATTATCCCATTTCAAAGATCAGGAAACAATTTTAGAGATGTTTCATAATACGGGATTTGAATCAGTTTCCTTATTACTCTAATATATTAGCATGTATATTAAATGTACAAATGCTAATGGATATCAAAAGAACATTCAGTGTATCTGAGTAAAATATTTTTGTGAGGAAGTTTTTCTGGAAAACTTCCAGAAAAACTTCTGAATACCGAATTTATATTCAAAGACTTGTGGAAAATAAATGATAGAAAATTGGGAAAAAGGAAAATTGGTGAGAAAACACAGAAAGGCATGTGGTATAGGAAAGCAGTTGCAGATTTTTGTCACTGTAATTAATGAAAAACAGTGTAGCAAATTCTAGAGCAAGATCACCTGGATCTGTTACCTGGATGTTCACATTTATGGTTGTGTTACTCAAATTCTCTGTACCTCAGTTTCTTTCTTTGCTAATGTTATATCAATAATACCTGCGCCACAGAGTTTGTAGAAGCTTTAAATGAAATAATGCATGCAATGTATTTACCAGAGATTTTGGTAAAATATGAGCTCTAAATAAACAGTTATTATTTATGGTTGAAGTAAGAGGTAATAAGAGGAAGGGGAGGAGGACAGATTGTTATTTACTTTTTTTTTTAATCCTCACCCCAGGACATTTTTTCATTGCTTTTAGAGAGAGAGGAAGTGGGGGGCGAGGAGCAGGAGAGGAACAGAGACAGAGCAGAGAGACAGAGTGAGACATTTGTATGAGAGGGAAGCATTGATTGGTTGCCTTCTGCTATGTGCCCAGACTGGGGATTGAACCTGCAATCTTGGAATGTGACCTGATAGGAAATCAAACCCTCAACCTTTTGGCCTAAAGGATGACTCCAACCAACTGAGCCACATCGTCCAGGGCAAGGATTGTTATGTAATAAACAGGGTTAAAAAGCAGTTATTTTAAAATAATTTAAAGAATAAAGTTTGCAAATTTTAAAGATATAACCATTTTTGTTCATCCCTAAATAAATTAAGCTATTTGATCTTGATTAATCATCAGTTTTTGCAGTTTCCTCAATTTTAAAACTACTATAAAAGGAAAACAATGAGAATTTAGATGCATGGAACATTCCTGCCTTTAAGAAGCATGCAGTCTTAGGGATGAGAAGTCTAAAACCTATGGCCGTCACTATCTTTCTTGGATATTCAGGGTTGAGAAGGCACTTCAGAGATCAATTAGAATGAGAAATGTATAACAACCTGTGATAGTCTAAAGTTCAGTATGTAAGTTTGTTGACCAGAATGAGAACAAACTCATTTTCAGTATTCTAGAAATAATTCATTTGCCAGATTTCTAGTACTAAAGGTCTTGTAGTTTCAAATTCTTTTAAGTTTCAAAGCCCATTTGGTCAGAAACAGAAGGTGACCAAAAGGAATTTGGGCCCTTCAGGCCCTGAAGGTATTGCGAGCAAATGGAAGTTGGTTTGTTCCTTCAAAGCTGTGCAAATATTTCTCCACCTTGTGGATTCACTTTTCTGAGGAATCATTTTCCTTAAAGGAGCAATGTGTGTAAAATTGATCCTTTTTAGAGGCACAGTACCTTGCAGAAGGTGTATCAGCAGGTCTTCCCGTAAGTTTTGGGGGACGATTTAGCAGTTTTGGTAACTACAGCTATTGCTCTGTGCCCCTGTCATGCATGGTGCCTTTGGGACAACCTAAGAGTGATTATCTTGAGTCTTCAAGCTCCCAGGTCTCTGTGGAATAACCATGAGACTACCAGCAACCAACATCAATGCTGTCTAGCTAACCCCATATTTGATTCTCAAATATAGGGTCTGGCACCATTTTTTATCACAAAATCATAAGCATGTAATTCTGTAATGTAACCATGTCACACTCAAGCACACCATGTAACATGTTAGGTAGAATCTTCACATTGCTGTCCATCTTGTGCAAGACATTACCAACCACACACAGTGGTGTTACTTCTGCCAGACCCTGTGTATCCATCAGCCTCTTGCTACTTATTTCCTGGAGAATAGGCACCACACTCCTCGTGGTGGGCGATTTTCTGTGGTCCTTCTTCATCATTCTTATTACTAAAGAAGTCATCCACTAACACAGCATTCAGTGTTTACTCACATGATTCATTTTTAAAATCCTTTCACTTTTGTTCCCATCCTAATTCAAGAGCTCTTCTTAAGGGTGCTTTCAACACTTTTTGGTTTTTGCCATCAGTAAATTTCAGACTATTATTTGACAGGGTTACGTTTACTGTAATCAGAAGTAATCACTAATATCTTGAAGGTCAATGATATTTTCATTTTATATTGAATTCATTGGGGTGACATTGGGTCACACAATTATACAGGTTTCCAGTGTACAACTCAACAAAATATGTGCACTCTGCACCGTGCAACATCACACCGATCAAAGTCTCTTTCGAATCCTGCTTCTCACCCCCACTTTCCCCGCCCCCATCTAGTCCTCACTCTCCTTTCCCTCTGGCTATCTTTAGACTACTTCAAAATGGAACACAAGCCAACCAGCAAGGAAAAAATAAAAAAAGGCTTTGTCTAAATTATTGCTCACAACACTAAAAGCCTCCTATTGGAAAATGTCAAAGTTGCTTTTGGCCTGGAGCTTGGCAATAACAGAAGGGCCCAGAGTGAAAGTTCAAAGCCCTTGGTATAGTTAAAACATACCACTAATTAGGGGTGTGAAGACTTGGCTTCTCCTCAGGGCTTGAGTATTTGCTAGTTACATACCTTTGGGTAAATATTTTTACATCTTCCTGTCTCGGTTTCCTCACCTTTAAAAGGTAAATACTTTCTGAAAAAGTGGTTTGTAGGATTGAGCAAATATACAATATAATTATAGAAATGCTTTGTAATAACTCAGAATTCTAAAATGGGTTAATAATTATTTGCAACATTTTATTTAGTTCTTCTAGTACCTTGCTTTCAGCTTCCAATATTGTGACACCGAAATTCAATACAGTGGCCTTTGACTACTAGGCTAATGAGATTTCCAAAACAGCCTAGCTTTGTCAGAAGTCACTTTCAGCTCTAATAATAAAATGACTACAAATCATGTAAACTTTCTCAACCAAAAATTCTAAACTAGAACTTTTCATAAACCATGAAGTTTTTGTTTATTTTGTTTGGCTTTGTTTTGTTTTGTTTTTGAAGTTCTGACATTCTATTTCTTTCTACTCCCCTCTGAGGTTTTGTATTTCGATAATGAACTTGCATCTGAAAATGACTACTGCTTGAGTTTTTGTCTTGAATATTTGATTGTCTAATCTGTTGGTCATATCAAACTAATTACAACTGCAATCCTGCATTTATGTTGCCTTATATTTATTCTGAATTTCCAAAACTGCCTAGGACAACAGTTCTCAAAGTCTGGTCTCAGAATCCTGTGGGGTCCAGAGACCCTTTCAGAGAATCCACTAGGTCAAAGCTATTTTCCTAACACTGTCATGATGTCTGTCTGTTTCATCATATGGTCATTTGCATTGACAGCACGAAAGCAATGGTGAGCTGTCACTTTCCTAGGCATTAAGGCAGTAGCACTTAAGTGCCATTGCGATCTTCATTGCCAGGCACCTGGATCAGGGGAAAAGGGAGTTGTTCTTTAAAATATCCTTGATCGAAGCAGTGAAAATTATTCATGTTATTGAAGGTTTACCCTTGAACATATCTTTTAACATTGTGCAGTGAAGATGCAAATTCTGTGGTGTATCAGAGTAACTTGGCTGTCTCAAAGGAAAACACTTGTCTGATTGAATTGAGAGCTGAAATTGGAGCTTTTTTCATGAAATATCATTTTACTTGAAGAATGACTTGGGTATTTGGAAAGTGTTTTCTCAAAAATCAATCAAATGAGATTTTTACTTTGAAGGAAATAACTGAGAGTATTTGTTGCCAGTGACAAAACCTGAGCTTTTAAATAAAAATAAGAATGTTGGGAAAATTGTATTTATTACTGTGCACCTCCCAATATTGAGACCTGTTTGTTGAGATGAGTGATGCTATTAATGAGCATGCATTGTCAGTATTGTGTAATGAAATGTGTCATCATTTGTAAGACCTGCATAACTCATATATTTCAAATAACCAATTATGTTACAAAATCATAGATGCAAGAAGATCCATTCAAAGTATAAGATAGTGTATTGAGTTTTAATGAAACAGTACCAAAAGTTCATTGACATTGTTTCAAATTCAGTATTACAACTCTTTTAAAAAAAAGGGAAAAAAATGGACATAGCCCTAACCTTGATGACTCAGTTGGTTGGAGCACCAAAAGGTTGTGAGTTCTATCCCTGGTCAGGGGACTTACAGGAAGCAACCAATCAATGTTTCTCATCTCTCTCTCTCTCCCTTTTTCTCTCCCTCTCTCTCCTCTCTCTTCCCTCTCTTCCCACCCCCTTCCTTCCTCCCTAAGATCGATAAGAGTATTAAATAATCTTCTCTTCTCCAAGTGCAAGTCTGTATCAGAACATTTTTTTTCATGTACCAAAACAAAATCTTGAGTTGTTTGAATGCAGAGGCACACTTGTCTTTTGTTAGGAATTTGAGATTTGTAGATAGTTAAATCAGTGCCACTTTTTAAATGGGTTTACTTTTTAAAAATACAGTAATTTCTAATAAAGTGTTAACATATAATGGGTTTATTATAGAATTAGTGAAAATGAATATTTTTAAATTTCTCAGTTAATTTCTATATGAAAACTGCAGACCTACAACTTACAGTAATAATTCGTATGGCATTCTTATTCTTATAACATTTATTGATCATGGACTATCCAGAAGTTGTGCTTAATATATATTATCTATAATACCACTTATTGTGAAAGTGTTGTTTTGATGCAGAAATGAGGAAATGAAGGTAACAAGAAGATCAATGGCTGGCAAAGTCATTATAGCTAGGTGAAAAAAAGGTGTTTACACTTACTATAATTACTGTGTATATTTATTAATGTTTTGATTTTAATACCCAGTATCTTCAAATATTTTTTTCAGAGATTACTGCAATGACCTAAAAATGTCAGACAATAACACCGAATTTCTTTTAAATTTCAATGAGTTTATTGACAGGAAAACTCCAAATAGTCCGTCTTGTAAGTATGCATTAATTCACCATAATTATTTCACTGTGGTTATAGCCAAAGTGGTCAAGTCTTGGTTCAGGTTAGTGTGTTGTTATGATGGTTTATTTAGTTAATTTATAAAATTTTAATGATAAAGGCTAAGAAAATACAGCCCCAGTAAAGAAATTTTATTACATTATTAACTGAAATCAAAATTTCAAAGCCAGGTGATAAATACTTGCAAATGTTTAAATATAAACAGGATAGGGTTGCCTTTCTCCTTTCAAATTTAAGAAGCTTAATTTTGAAGGTTTTTCTTTTTTTTCCTTTTTTCCTATTGTTGTTCAAGTACAGTTGTCTCCAGTCCCCCCCATCACTTCCCCCCCCGTCACCCCCAACTCCCACCCTCACATTTTTCTTGCTACATAGAGGAAAACAAACATATAACATATTTTCATCAATTTATATACCTTCCAGTTTACATGCGAGTTTAATATGAATAGAGTAAAAACAAGATATAAAGATATATTAATGGTTTGTTTTCTTACCGACAGTTTATTTTGATCACCATTAACTTTGTATATTAAAAATATGCTTCCATAATTTCCCATTTTATGAAGTAAATCTACTTGGGATAAAAGAAATTTTAGTAGTTTTTAATTATCATATGTGTCTGTCAGAGAAATTTGCATTATTCATACTATAAAACCATAGACATGTATGAGTTCTTAGCTTCTAAAACATTTTAAAATCTTAACTTTTCTAAAAATATTTATAAAAGCACTATCAGGAAAAATGCAGTGCAGATGGGAAGTAACAAAGGAAAACCAGGTGTATGGCAAAAACAATTTACCTTAGTATTACAACCTTTTTAAAAAGGATACTTAATTGACTGTTTGTTCTACCTACTCCTTCTTCCCTTATCTCTTCCTCCTCCCCTTCTCTCCTCCTTTTTAAAAAAATTAATTCCCCTTCTATCAATTAAACAAAGCACTTCCTCAGCAATAAAAAGTAAAAATTCTATCTTAAAGCCATCTCTCAAATTTAAATTTATCTCATAACAAGAAATAACTATCATCTCTAAGAATGATTAGCTACTCTGAAAACCTGTCTTGAGCAGATGAAGTCTACCTCGGTCATGCCTGAGTATCAGTGATTCCTTGTCTTTCCACTCAGTGCGTACTCACCCTGACTGAGACAGAGCCTTTCAATGTTATTTTACATTATTGTTTATTTCTATTCATAATAGACATTCCCAAGACAGAACTGAAATAATATTACTGAATTATTCTTTCATTTTATATTTATAGATTCTAGGAAAGTATAAATATGTTTAATAAAATACTTTTAGTATAATGAGATTGATATCCATACTCTTGTAGTTCTGCAATCTCTCTCTCCATTTCACTCATGTTTACCTGCCTCCCCTATGATCCATAAGAAATGTTAGAGGTAATTATATAAACATGGGAAGAGTTGAAATTTTATTGGATTTTTAATTATAAAAAGTAACTAATAGATATAAAATAATTTATATTTGCTTCAGATTATTATAGATTTTCCTCAATCATATTTTATATCATGGTTTCAATAAATATGTAAAACTAACTTTAAAACTAACTATCAGTGATTGAAATCTAACTGATCTAAATAGTTTTTTTTTAAATGGGTATAGTCAGGAGTAATTTTGCTTTATAAAAGTACTTAATCCATCAGAAAATTTTCAATGACAGTTATTTAAGTTAATTTGTTAACCTGCCTAAATAGTCACACTATAGAGTGGTTGTCTTCTCATATTTTTCTTCATTTTGAACTAATGTGAAAATGAGGTTGTGTGTGTATAAAATGGTAAATATTAATACTGTTAATCTGTTGATATATTGTATGGAATTAGCTGCAGGGGACATATTTGAAGACACATTTTAGATTTATAGGATAATGGAAATACAAATGAAATTGTTTACAACTTTGGTTATATTACAAATTATGATGATGGTCTCATTTTTTTGTTTGTTTTACCTGAAGCATTGGAGACAGCTACATCATTGCATTCACTTTCCAAATGGGCTACTTTTTAAATTGATGTTCTTCCTAAAATAATATAATAAAAAAAGATAGTTCCTAAAGTGAGTTGAAATCAAGTCTAAAATATGGATTATATTTGTCCTTTAATCCTGGGTGAAAGGTACATTAAATTAAAATAATTAAAACCAACCCAAATGTTTCAACCCTATCTTATCCCTACCTCTTGTAGTTATAGGATAGTAAGTAAGACCATATATTCCTTATCTGAATAAAATGAAATTTTATTATAAATGTGAAGTTTCAGGGAGTACTTATAGTTTATTCAGAGCTTTATGGGGTTAGAGCAGAGGAGCCAGGAGAACAGGATGAAGGCAAAGTGTTTTATAAATATGTATTAATTTTATCCTTGGTTCCCATTGTTTATATCCACTTCATTACCTTTGAACTTGGGGTTTGAACTTTCACCAAGATCCTATCAGTAGATTCCCAATGCCAGTCTTGGAATAAGGGAGGTCTGTGATAACTTATGTTCCTTGGCAAAAGCAATAAAAAATATATAGCTAAGTAGTTTTATATTTATACATAAAATTACCTATGAAATTATGATTGTTTAGAATCACTATACTCACCTACAAAAAAATCAAAATCAAAAGAAGAATATTATCCCATCACTTTTTCTTTATTGGTGTATTTTATCTATTTTTTAATAAAGCTTAAAAAAATAAGTTGTCTCTTTTATAGAACTGGCTTTTCTACTACTAATCCTACCATAACCTGAAAAATGTGAGGCAAGATTAAAAGTATATAAAAAGCACAGAAAATTCATATAAGATATATTTTTAAATTCATAGAAATATTTATTCTAAATTGTTTTAAGAAATAGATAATATATTGTCTCATTTTCTTAATTCAAAAATTATGTGCCTGTCATTGAGGCTATTCTTTTTCTGTGTTAGGTAACACAGATTTGATTAATCGGGTCTTGCTGGATGCAGGTTTTACAAGTGAACTAGTCCAAAATTATTGGAGTAAGCAGAAAAGCATGTAAGTATTTGTTCTTATTAATAAAATTATATGTCCTCCATTTCAGATTGGCATCTCTCTGGGAAATCTCTGGAAACTGGTCTCAAATTTCAAATTCATTATTTATCTATTTTTCTCTTTCTTAATGAATTTATTGGGATGACATTGGATAAAAGTATATAGGTTTGGGGTGTACAAGTCTATAATACATCATCTCCATATTGCATTGCATGTTTATCACCTCAAGTCAAGTCTCCCTCCATCATCATTTGTCCCTGTTTTGCCCTCTTCTACCTCCCCCAATGCCCCTTTCGTTCTAGTAATCACCAGGCTATTGTCTGTGTCAAGTTTTTGTTTTTGCTTTTGCTTAATCTTTTTACTCTTTTCACCCAGCCCCACAACACCCTTCCTCTCTGACAGTTGTCTCATTATTTATCTTTAATAACAATTTCTCAAGAAAATCATTTTGCAATTGTTGACAACTTGCATTTGCAGTTGTGGGTGTGTGTCTGGAGGAACCTTTGCCATTACTCAGCTTTACAATATAGTGTATACACTGCAGTGTGAATAGACATGTTTGTGCGTGTTTCAACATATGTGGTAAACTACTTTCTAGTGAGAGCTCACTCGGCTTCCTAACAGCCAAGTGAAGAAACCCAGTGAAGAAACCAAGAAATCTGATTATGGTTCTCATCTACAGTCTCTTCACCCCACTTCCAGTCAATCACCAAATGCTAAATATTATTTCCAACAATGTTTTCCTCTCTTTTTCATACTCAAAGTCCTAATTTCCATTTCCAAGAACTTAGAGAAACTGATTTTAATGCCTTTAGTGCTTCCCATTTCTCTACGTACAACAGCCCCCTGTTTATTCTCCATACAACTCACATTTCCCAGTCTTGCTTTCAGAATCCAGTTCCAGGCTAAAGGTGATTCTCTCCAGCATGGATTTCAACATCATTCATGAGATGACCATTCTTAAGACGCTTGCACTTGAAACTTTATTTCCTCTTCTTTCTCACCTTGTGCCTTATGCTTTTATCACACCAAACACAATCATTCTTCATTAGCTTTCTTTTACACATACTCTTTGCTTTATATGTGATATATTCCTGCTTTTACTGTCATCCCTGTTAACTCCTATTCCTCCTTCAAAATTCAGCTGAATTATTACTCCCTATGATGAGATGACTTTCTTAAGCATCCTCCCTCCAAGTACTTATTTCTTAGATTTTAACTAGTAAAACGAAATCGCATCTATCGATTTTTTTACTCTGGCTTTTTGTATTTTAGGAATTTGTTTTATTTCTCTTGTATCAGCAATCTCTAAATTAATACCTTAAAAAGAATAAGTTGAATAAAATATTTCCTTCTTCCGTCTTCTGTTCCAGCAAGGGAGTGAAAGCGCGGTTTGTTGTGACTGATGGTGGGATTACCAGAGTTTATCCCAAAGAGTAAGTTCAAATAGCGTCCATAGAAAGAAGTACATTAGAAAAGATTACTGCAAAAATCTGTACATTGTAAGAAAGCCATTCTTCAGAGAAACTGATCATTCTTCATAGATTAAATTGGAGTCATTGTTGAAAGTACTTACATTATTAAAATATTTTATTTTTTAAAATGCTATTACATGTTCTTCAGTGATACATTTGTTTATCATATATAAGATTTTAAAATAATTTTTTCTTTGTAGACACTAACTAACCTAGTTAATGAACATAATGGTTATAGCCTATATGCTATCTCTGTACAGCATTTCATTGTTCCCACAGTTCTTCAATGGACCTGATCTCTCTTTATCTTCAGAACAGTCTGCAAAGTGGGCTGACCAATTAACTCACTGGACCAGAACTACCTAATTAGTAAATGCAAAGTAATACCAAGAGTCAGCTTTTTCTGACCCTTCATATAATTATAATCTGATATATTGCTTAGTAATGAGTATCATTTACCTGATCAATCACCACTCAATTTCTTAGACATATCTGTAAATTACAGTTTTGTCTACAAAGGGAAAATTAGGTTATCAGCTAGATTAAAGAATAAAAATGATGAGTCATTTCCTCCTCAGGGCTGGAGAAAATTGGCAAGAAAACCCAGAAACATATGAAGACAGCTTCTACAAAAGGAGTCTTGATAATGATAACTATGTGTTCACTGCCCCTTATTTTAACAGTAAGTAGTACTTTGAAATTTAGTATTTTCAGTTTTTTTAAATAAATTCTTGCTACTACCTTCATTCCCCCAAAACAATATATTGTAAGTTAATTGCTCAGAATGGTCATTACTAATTATGTACTACATGCTGACATTGGAAAGACAGAAGCATCTAGTTAATTGAGGAGGTAAAATTCATATACAGGAAACAGCTATTCAGGAACATAGAGACAGCCTATCTGAAGGTATGTACGACACATGGAAACACATGTAGATAATTCCTCATTTCACAAAGTGAAATTATATTGAAAATGTTTAATGAATGTTTAAAATGTAATCAATCAGTTTCTTCCAGTTTAATCAATTTGTTAAATATATTTTTATAGAAATTAATAATAGACATATTTTAAAATATTTTATTTTGTTATTTACCCCCAACTTTTTAATTACTCTACCTCTCTGGGTATAATTATTATTTTTCCTCATTTTCATTCATGGGAAAATTGAAGTTTAGAAAACTTTAGAGTTTTGTCCAGGGACATATATCTTCTAAAATACAAATACAGGTTTGGGGAATCTGATCGATCTTTCCATTTCATCTGCCTTCCTAATACTTTAGCACATGTCATGAAGCAGAGATTTGGCATGCACACATTGTGTTGTGCAACAGATGCAGCCGAGCTGAATAATTCACATCCCAAAGTTCATTCATATAAATCATGTCATGGATACTTCAATTACCTGGTATATACCATATATCTATAGTAGAATTGCTACCTGTTTAAAGAGATTCAATATTATTTGATTTATCTAGACAGGTCTCTTTTCCATTTTTTTTTTTAGAAAGCGGACCTGGTGCTTATGAATCAGGCATTATGGTAAGCAAAGCTGTAGAAATATCGATCCAAGGAAAACTTCTTAAACCTGCAGGTGAGCATATACATTGTATACATAAACATGACCAAAATTAATTGTGACCTAATATTTATCTTGAAAACGGTCATTAGAAAAGCCATCAAAATGTTTCAACCAAAACAAAGTCAAAGACAGGCAAAATTTAAAAAAAAAATAAAATAAAATAAAAAATTTTTTGAGATTAGGAATAAAATAAAATGATGATATACAGAGGTGAGGAATTTTCAAACTATATGTTTATGCAATGTTTATATAATTACACATTTTTGTAATAGTTTACATCAATTTTATAGCAATGTTTATAATAATTACAAATTTTTGGAATCAATTTAGTGTCATATCAAAATTCTAAATGCTGGATTTACCCAGCAGTCCCACACTACAAGTTCAACCTGAAAGACACTTTCAAATATGCAAAACAATACATGGCCACATGAATAATACATGTGAATATTCATAATGATGTAAACATGGAATGTTTAGATTCCATCATTAGGGGAAAAGATAAATAAATTATGGCATATTTATAACATGTCTCTTAAAAGGTATCAGAGATCTATCTATTTTTTTTAAAAGCTTCCAATAAAATAGATGGAAAGTGACTTTTTTCTAAAATAAAACAAACCGAATGAGGAAACTCAACAATTGGTAAAACTGAGCATCAGTGGGAATTGGAAATAGGCCTGTATAAATATATATAATAAAGTCGCAGTTACGTTTTTCCCATCGTATGACTCAGTATTTGACTTTTTTCAAACAGTGTGTATTAGGCCACCTGGAGAAGGTAGATACCTTGCCTTCCTTCTCCAGAGGGCAGTTTTATCCCTCATTGGTTCCACTACATAGGTCGATTCACTCCCTCACTTAGTAACCAATTCACCCCACCCTCATTCACTCAATTGCTTTTATTTACTTAGTTATTCTCTCAGACATTCATTCATTCTTCCACTCCCACCCTCTCATCTTCCCATTTTCTCATCTATTCAGTCTTCAGCACACATTTCTTAAGCACCTATTGCAGGCATTGGCTGGGTTAGGGAAGACTCTTCACAGATTCTGCTTGAATGACCTTATATTTATAAGGCTATTCCTAACACTATCATTTATTTTTAGCTTCCCATCTTTATTAGTTAATTGTCTAGGTTGTGGCAAATGGCTACTGTGTTGTGAATATAAACTGCAGTTTTTTTTAATTAGTTCAAGTCAACTTTTCAATATATAGCTAAAGTTAAATTTTATCTCAAGAAACTTAATTTGCCTGCTCAAGAATTTTCAAATATGAGAGGAAAAATATGTGAGAATCTAAGCTACATTTTTAATGTATATATAAATTTTTATTTTACATAATTTTTCAGTTGTTGGAATTAAAATTGATGTAAATTCTTGGATAGAGAATTTCACCAAAACATCGATCAGGGATCCGGTAAGATAATTTTTAAAAATATATTATTTTGTTATATATTTAATAACTCAAATGTAAATAAGAAAATAAAAAGTAAAATCTTATACAGATGCTGGCAAAAGAAACTTGCAGTGCCAGTACATTGAAATAAAATTATGATTTGGTATTTTTCAGAGATGGTGTTGTTTAATCAATTAATAAACATAAAAAGAAAAATATTTCAATGTTATAATTTGAAATGCTAGTGTAGATATCTATTAATTGTTATTTTCTAATTTTAAAGATGAAGTAATTATCTTTTATATTATGGACTAGACCAATATTTAATATTACTTACACTATATAAATTAGTCTGATTTATAATTGGAACATAGTAATAATATGAAATAATTAAAATTCAATTTTAAAAATGAGATGATAATTGTACTTTGTCTTTCAGTGTGCTGGTCCAGTTTGTGACTGCAAAAGAAACAGTGATGTAAGAAAACTTTAAAATAAAAATTCTAACTATATATTTTTTGTTACTCTTGCTAAGATTTTATGATAAAATACAATGCAGGGAAATTTTAATGAAATGCTAAAACATTACTCTTCAGAGTTGTGAACTAATTTATAGGTAAAAAATTGAACTAAATGCTTTTAATACCTGACTTTAAATGCTTCTGTTTTTTAAAAGATTAAAAAAGATTAATTCATTATAGAAAATTATAATAAAGCCATATCAATATGGACTGTACCCTCTTCTATCTCAATTGTGTTAGATTCTTTTGTACATATTGATCTTTACCCCTGTTCCTGGAAGGAGAGTTTCTAACCAAAGTGCATTTGTTAGCAAAGAGTCTCTCCTCATCTTCTGTACTTTCTCTGAATTTGTCCAACACTGCATTTACAATAATGAGAAATGTTTTTTAACTAAACCTAGGAATTATATGCTTTATTATAAAGTTCCCCTAACATGGACCAGAATTTTCCATTGTCTTCTATTTTATTTCTGATTGAGAGAGTGAAAGAGCAAATGTGGCCTTTGATAAATGCTGACGATGCTTGAAGAATGATACTAGATGAATTATTCCTAAAACGAACGAAGAAGGATGAATTCCACTCTTGTAGTCACCTTATCTGTGTGTGTGTATTTCCAGTGGAACCCAGGGGTTTATTTCATTTTACCATTTGTAGTCATCAAAAATATAAGCCAATAACTTAATTGTTTAGTTTGTCTATTTTACAGCCTTTGTAAACATAGGTTATGAAAACTATGATTTTAGAGCAAAGGTTATTAGTAAGCTGCTTTCACAGGAGGAAAATGGAATGCACACGTCTCCAACTCTGAAAACTATGATATAAATTGTGATTTTTATAAAATAAAATTGATTAAATTGATTCTGCCTTTAAACATGATTTAAACTAGGTGGGATCTCATTCTATATTTCAGAGTTAAAGTTTTGTTCTTAGTCACAGGCATTTCTTGTTATTTTTTTAATCTAAAATCATTCAACCAACTATTTTTAATATAACAGTAATAAATATCCTCAGGCTGCTGGGTTTTTTTAAAGTTTGTGAAGCATAGTGACTAAACCTCATTTAAAAATATTCTTTGCAAAATTGTGAATATGTGCTTAAAATAATTATACATTATTAAATATTTTGATCTATACAATTTAGCAGCTCATTCAGATGACTTTGGAGTGGCCAAAAAGATACTTCTGATTTTTTCTTATGATTTGTTAAGACTGAGCTGACAGTTTTAACTGGATGGGTAAGTGGTAGAATACCAAGGGATCAGTATTCCTGAGGGATTGATATGAATCTATGTATGCCCTTAATTTATTTCATCAGAATCCCTTAAGCATATATGTTCAAGAGAAGACATAGCAATTTGAATTTTTCTCCTCTTGTTGTTATAATCATCTAAATATATAATGGAGTACCAATAAAGTAACCTTCTAACCTTCCTAAAAAATGTGTTCACTGCTACTGTTATTTTAATAGGTAATGGATTGTGTGATTCTTGATGATGGTGGATTTCTTTTAATGGCAAATCATGATGATTATACTAACCAGGTATGTATCTAAAGAGGAAAGAACTAAGGTTACAAAGTGTATTTCCCTGATCAACATTACAAAACTCCTCTATACCATCATAGAACTTGATGACTAGTTGTATTTTTCTTATAAATTCTAAAGTGCTTAATATGATATAAATCATTAAGAAATCCATTATAAATCTAGGTTTTCTTATGTTAAGTTTCCTTTCACAGTAATTTAAACATATAGCTAAGGATCTTGACATGGTATGAACTTTTTATTTTTGATCTCTCAGAAATTTAGAACATTTCCATATATTAAGTATTTATCAATTGATAGTGTCTAACTTAAATATGACTGGTGTGAAACAGCTGAACTTTCTATTTCCAGATTTGCAAGTTGGCAGCACATAAGCTATTTGGTTCACACAGTTTTCTGAACAAAGTAGAATTTGTTGCCAACTAAATTTATTTCTGAATCTACAGTGTTTATGGGCTGGAATTTAGATTAAACTCTAAATTAATTCTCCAGGGTTACCCTAGAGGTTGTCCCCGTACATGGAACTCACTTCAGTTCAGTACAGTCCCTACAAGTATCTTACTTTCCTAAGTCCCATCCATTTTTTACATTTATGCTACATTTGATTGTATCCTTAAAGCTGAGTAAATGGCATATATTCCTTGCACAAATATCTCACAGAGCCATTGAGTAGTAAGAACACTGAAGTTCATTTGCATGTGTCCAGAGTGTCATATCCTGGTTTATTGCTTGCTTTCTCTTAAAGCTCCTGACTGTCTTTAGTACATAGTTCTTTGTATTATTTATTTTTCATCATCTGGTTAGGTGTTAATATTTGACTTTAATTTGAAACTTTATGTTGTTTTTTTCTGTGCTAGATTGGAAGATTTTTTGGAGAGATTGATCCAAGTTTGATGAAACACCTGGTTAATATATCGGTCTACGCTTTTAACAAATCTTACGATTATCAGTCAGTGTGTGAGCCTGGTGCTGCACCAAAGCAAGGAGCAGGGCATCGCTCAGCATACGTGGTCAGTAACACCCAAGTCACCACTGCCTCTCTAAGAGACACTAGGCGTAGATTAATGCAGTGATTTTTTTTTTGTGGTATTTTCTAGCCATCAATAGCGGACATATTACACATTGGCTGGTGGGCCACTGCTGCGGCCTGGTAAGTCAAAACTGTGTTTTAATTGGTGATGAGAGGAAAATGTCAAATAGTAAAGAATTTGATGCAAATGGATTTTGTGACATGTAAATAGTATGGAAGTTACTTTTTTATTTCCAATAGCACATATTAGTAATGCTTACATATAGTTTTTCCGAAGTGATCAGTGTAAAGCTGTTACAATTATTCATTTCTTTAATATGAAAACACTGTTACGCTCTTGCCAACTTCAGCCTCTTCAGAGGCATCTTTTTTCTATGGGTCCTTTGAAACTCTTTTCACTTGTTTTTTTCTCATATTAAACTCAATTCCTTAAATTTTAGGTCCATATATCTCTCCTACTTTTGCCTTTAATATCCAAATTATATTTTTTCATTGACCAATTCGTGACATGATGGCTCATCTTTATACCTCTTGCCATTCACACAAAGGCTGGCATAGTTTTAGGGGCATCATCTTGCTGAAATAGATCTCATTCTTTCTTTTCATGAATCCATTCCCCTCCCTTCTTCACCCTCTCACCTATGAAAATGAGACATTTAAACTATTTAGTGAGACACTGTCAAGAGTCTGGAAGATCAAATGTGTCATTGTTTAGTTCTGGTTAGTCAAGTAACTAGAGCTCCTGTTGTGTCTGGGACCCTTCCTCTCCCTCCCTTCTTTCCCGCCCATTTCTTTTGTATCAGTGCCCTGCTGCATTTTCCAAGCCTATCCCATGTAGGTTAATCTCTAACATTCATTTGATGTTGAGGCTTTCCCAGCTAAAATCAAGTGATTATAAAGTGCAGAGATTTTATATTTAAAAGAATTTTGTGGAAAAAAATTTGAAAATTGTCCTTCATGTTGTGAAAATGAGATTTATATATTAATTTACATAGGTTTTCTAAAACGTATATTGCTTCTGAAATACTTGATTGCCTTTATGTTATTTTTGACTAGCATATCTCCCTCCTCACCATCCACCTTTCTTTTATTAAATGCAGTTCCCAATGAATATATCATACTATCTAATATTTATTGTTTTTTACTATAAAACAAATGTCTTATGCCATATATATGGTATGCATATTTTATTTCATAAATGTCACATTATGTATTTACCAATATATTCTATATTAGTAATAGTTTATACACCCATGGCACAATGTCATTTTTATTTGTTTTTAGGGTTCTTCCATCAGAATCTTAAAAACCAAAAGAAAGAGAAAATCCTGCTTGTGAAACCCCTTTCCCCTCTTCAAGGTCCCACCCCTCCCCACACGTGTCCCTCATTTGGTCCTAAACCATTTCACTTCGTGACTTCAGCAGAAACCTTTACAATGTTTTGTATAATTTAAGAAATAATTATGTCAAATGCTTCTAAGCTTTTTATTAGCAAATTCACAATTTTCCCCAGAATAATGAAAAATAACTGTGTTTATATGAATATGAAAAAGTCCTCAGGTTTTATTATGTAACTTAGAAGGGAACTATGTAGATTTTTATAAATAATTACTCATATTTAAAATTCAGGTCTATTCTTCAGCAGTTTATCTTGAGTTTGACTTTTCCACGACTCCTTGAGGCAGGTACGTAAATGCTCAGATATTGTATCATCATCATCATCATAATAATAATAATGTTCTTTCTGTATCTGCTGAATTTAAAATAGCTCAGTGAGAAGTGTGTGTGTGAGTGAGAGAGAGAAAAAGAGAGAGAGAGAGAGAGTGTGAGAGAGAGAGAGAGGTCATCTATTTGACGCTTGTAGGTTCAAATCTTTTTTTTTAATATTAAATTTTATTTAGTTACTTTTCAAGTACATTTTTTTTTTATCTATTGTCGAAACTTTCCTATCTCCAATTGGCCTGTGTTTTGTAGCTGCTGTATATTTGAATTAATTTATTCTTTTGAAATTGGGGGGGTACCTATTACGGGCTGCCAGTATATTACGTAGCAGTGAACAGGCCGGTCAAGGCGCCTGCCCTTCTCCAGTTGTTTTGCTCCGTGAGAAGGGAAGGCGCTGAGGGACTGCCCTGTAGTGCCCCTCACGGTAGTGATGGTCTCTGTTTCCCCACAGTTGAGATGGAAGACGATGACTTTGCAGCCTCTCTGTCAAAGCAGAGTTGCATTACTGAGCAAACGCAGTATTTCTTCGATAATGATAGTAAATCATTCAGTGGTGTGTTAGACTGTGGAAACTGTTCCAGGTAATTTTTTTCTTCATTTCTGGACCATTTCTACAATATTTCACTAAGAAATTGTATTCACTTTTATAATCATACAAAAAAATAACAGATTGTTGTTGAGTCTGAGAGAGATGAGTAACTGTTCTAAGGTGAACACACTAGAGAGCTTCACTTTTTCTGTAGGTTTTTAAAATGAATTCTAACTTTGATAAGTTATAGTCCCTTCAACTATAATATATGGTCAAGAAATCAATAGAACATAGAGAAATTCTATTATTTAAGTGTAATTTTTGTCTAAAAGAACCCATATTAAAATTTTCCTATTATCCAGAAATTACAGAATTATTCAACTTAGTAATATTAGGATTGATTACATGAGTCATTCTAAGTCCTATATATGATTTTTATATATAGTTAATAAACAGGTTTACATAAAAATATTCAGGGGTGTGTGTTCCATTCTAGTATTCACTGAAATTTAGAGTTAAAGTTATGTTTGATTTGAAGCTGGAAGAACTGGGAGGAAATATTTTCTAAGGTCAAGGTTTGTGTTAGTCACCAGTATCCATAAAGCATCTTGCTTTTGCTGAGGAGAGAGCCGGAGAATTTAATTTGATTGTAATGGGATAGGGGAGAAAGGCAAGAGGGGGGTTTTGAAGTTTGAGAGGAGGGTGATAATCCACGTCACAGGAGCCCTGAGAACAGAGCAGAAAGGCGCAGCTTAGAAGGCAGAGTTTTTAACTTGGTTTTTAGTGACTGCCGGCTGGCTATTCTAGAAGAAATATTAACCTAAGGGAGGGAAATACGAGGAGCTGAGGTAATCTGATCATGTGCAAGGGCTGGGATTGTTGGTTGCTAGGGATTTAGAAAAGAAGTTTATAAGTTAAAAAACAATTTCAGGAATAGGTTAACTGAAACTTGCAGGAACTTTTAGTAGACATGGTCAGTATGATTTTTATGACTTACTTTAGCTAACTTTTATGTCATAGGAGGAGATAGAGGGTATGAAAAGGAGAAGGAAGGGCAGGACAGACAGGCATGAATTTAGAAAAATCAGGCCATCTTGTTTAGAGATAGTACGTTAAACTAGCAACTTCAGGAAACAGCATTACAGCACGTTTTGTGGGTACATCAGAAAGAGGTTGAGTCCTTTGGCCTTTCATTAATTGATGCCCCGTAATAGTAATGTTGCTTAAAAATAGGCTAAATTAAATGACAAAGATCAATATAATCAAGATATTAGGTTGAATTGTGTCTTTTTATTTGTTCCATGCTTGTGTCCTAAGTTCAACTGAGGGGGGTGGACAGCAAAATCTCACTTCTTTGAAAATATATAACCATAAAAATTACTCTTTTACAACATATTTACATTTTGTCATGATTGCTAAAGAAGGCAGAAGCAGCTAAGGATGTACAGGAAAAAAACACTTCATGGAATCTGAAGCTCTTGATTTTTGTCTATATCTGTGCAGTCTAGTTCAGTAATTGCCAACTGTGGCCATTTCAATTATCTATTACAATTAATTAATTTTAAAATTGTGTGCTTCAGTCACACCAGTCACATTTCAGGTGCTCCATAGCCTTATGGTCTATCATATTGAGCAAAGAAAAAACATTTCCATGACAACAGAAACTTTGCTGAACAGTGTGATACTAGTCTTTGCCATTCACTTGGGCAAGATGTTTAGTCATATTGGTCCCCCCAGTTTTTTTCTCTGTAAAATAAGGCAACTTTGGCATATTTCCCATGATAAATACCACAGTTCCTTAAACGTGTAGAGTAAACTTTTTTCTATGATTTTCAATGACTAGTGCTAATTTTGCATTAAGGACTAACATTTTTAAAAAACCACTTCAAACATCTATTGCAGTTTTTTAGTATTTATTTGAGAGGGGTAATATATGCATACTAATAAACAAAACACTGTAGTCTGTCTTCTAAAATCATTCTCGTTCTGTTTTACTGTTTGTGTTGGTGATGCTTTGCATTTAAAGATGTGATATTTTGTCTTTCATTAATAATATATTAAGAATCCTTGACAGACTTTTATTTCTTTCACAAAAGATAATGTTGTTATTTTTATATTTATTTTACAGAATCTTTCATGCAGAAAAACTTATGAACACCAACTTAGTATTCATAATGGTTGAGAGCAAAGGGACGTGTCCCTGTGACACACGCCTGCTCATACAAGCAGAGCAGACTTGTATCCTTTGACACTAGAGGTGTTTGGAATAGAAAGCCGTCTTATTATAAAATGATGCATTTTTAACCTTGCCACATTGTTTATGTTCATAAAGATATTATAGAATGACCACCTCACAGAAATAAAATTTAGTTTGTATGTCAAGACTGATATTGTTACACACCTGCCAGAAGAATGTGAAAGGTTTCTTACTCACAGATGAGGTTGGTGGGCAGAGCAGTGGGGGTCCCCAAGTTGATCTGAAAGGGCTTGAGAGAGCAGGGAGTAGTAACTGGCTTGGGATCTTTATGGTGGGTTAGGCAGCAGTGCTGGGTTCATTGCCTGTGCTGCCTGGGGCTTGTATGCTTAGAACTTCACAGGCAGTGATGAAGGAGGGAGCCCTCCTGCTCCCCTCTCAGCTTGCCCAGATGTGGAGCAGAAGGAAAAAGGAGTGTTGTGGCTTACAAGCTATCAATAGTCAGTCATCCAAAGTAGAGTCAGATATGGTATATATACATGTCTAATATTATTTGGCCTTAAAAAAAGTAAATCCTCTCATATGCTACAGCTGCAATGCCAATAACATTAAAACTACTTCTGGTGGTAAACATGCAAAATGACATGCAATGGCTATTAAGACACTGCACACAGAAGTTCTGTACAGCACCTATAATTTTTGCATTTATCCATGCTCTTTTTGGGGAAAAAAAAACAGTTCTCACCTATGTTTGGAATTGACATTTATTATAAGGAATTGGCTTTGTTTCTGTCTTAGTAAACAGAGTGCACCCAGGTTCTCCCTTGTGTACAGTACTAGTATGACCCTGCCTTACATACTCTACATCATCTGTACATTTCATCCGCTTATATTCTACAGATCTTTACTGAGTGCTTCCTATGTGCCAGGAGCCATATACAGGAAAAAATCTAAAAAGTTGACCTCTTCACACAGCCCCTACTCTGCCAAGAAAAATATGTGTGGCAGTTTAACTCCTTAAATCCCTAAGTACTTGAACTGGTTGTGTTGGGCTCAAATAATAGCACGGGTATTTCTTCCTTGCTTTGGGAAATAAACATATTACATTTTCTATTTTTAATTGTGTGGGGAGAAAAGAGTGCTTTCATGTTCCTTAACGAGTGTCTAGCTGATGGTCCAAATCCCTGCGATATGGTTAAGCAACCCAGATACCGAAAAGGGCCTGACGTCTGCTTTGATAACAATGACTTGGTAAGAGCAAATGTTTGCTGTGCTAGAATCCTTGTTTTCTCAATGGTCATTGTCCACAAGAAGTTTAGGAGCCATAGTGTTTCTCATTAACATGATGTACTTTCTGGTAAATCGATTTTTCATTTCAGTATTTTTCATGGTTAGCATAAGCTAAGAGTTGCTTCTTTTATCTGTCCTCTTCAAAGAAATTGTACTTTCAAACACGATTCCAATCAATTTACTCATAATCCAACATTATTAATCTAATGATTTTTAAAGAGTTTCTAAAAATAGTAACTGGCAATAAGATAACTGTTACTTATGGTATATGAGTTGCCTGCCTTAATTTCTATTCCAAACTTGAAGATATGAAAGTGTTTATTAGATTTGGTTTAGTCCTCATTCAGGGTATTTAAAAACTTATCCAACATTAGTAATCCAACATTACTAATCTAATGATTTTCAAAGACTTTCTAAAAATAGTAACTGGCAATAACTGTTACTTATGGTATATGAGTTGTCTGCCTTCATTTCTATTCCAAACTTGAAGGTATGAAAAGTTTTTATTAGATTTGGTTTAGTCCTCATTCAGGGTATTTAAAAACTTATTAAACAGCCATTGTCCAATTATTATATAATTCTACTTTTTTTGTTCTTGATCTATTACCTATGAGATTTATACTAATTCTTTTAAACTGTACTTGAACAACAATCAAAAAGTGGAAAGGTAAAAGTATTAATTTTTATACTGTTGAAATTAGACAAGGTCAGTAGGGTTAAGTTGATAAAATTTTACAGAGCGTATTTCATATATGTTATTTAAATATACTGCTAATTTTTCTATAGGTCTGTCCTGTAGGAAAATTCTGACTTACTGCGTCCATAATCCATTTTATGCTTTTCAAATGTATTCTCAAACACAAAGACCACAAAAGACCTGCCCACTGAAAAAATTAATTTTATAAACAATAATCCTCAATTCTCTGACTCTTCAAGATGTGCCTTTGCATTTAGTGGCTTGTATACCAGTAAGCATGGAAACATAGAGCATGATCATTGTATGAATTGATTATTATGAAAACAGGCCCAGTTATTTAATGATTAATGTGCTTCTATACAGATTGTTATTTATTTATTTAGAATAGATTTCCATACCACTGTATACTACCTACTCAAAACACATAGCCACTTTTGTCCCAGCAAATATATTACATTTCCGTAGATACACATTATGCAGTTAGATAATATAAATTACAACTGGAGAAAAGAAGAAATAAAATTAGTAATGGAGAAGAAGGCTTAAAAAAAATAAAACAAGATCTTTTAGTTAGTGATGGAGAATAAGGCTTAGAAAAAAAACAAGACAAGATGTTTTAGTAAGTAAATCTAAGTCATCTCCGCAAGGAATACTGATCATTCTTCTTCGCTACGGAAAGTGATTCAAAGTTGCAGCTAATTGTTCTTTTTCATTTTACTTAAATAAAGAAAAGATGTGAGGACTCTGTTATTTTAACTACTACACATTTAGGAGCTTCGCCCGTACCAAATCATTCTCCAAAGGATATTGTTTGTGGGCCCAAGGGTAGTGTCGCTCATTAGGAAAACTGCTCATCAGCTGTTTGCCATCAAAGAGAGATCATATAAAAACCCTTTACTCAAAAATATTGTCACTCTAGGAAACTCTGTAAACTGATCAGGGCATTGTAAATATTTAAGACAAAAATTTTCAACAATTCAAGTTCCTGTAAATTACACAGTGGATTGTGTATGAAAGTACAACTCCTGCTCAGTAGCTGAATGTGCTAATAATGTCTTGTGTTTCTTCAGCAGTGGAATATTTTGGTAACGCTTATTTGCAATGGTCACTGTGAATCTGCTCTGGATGGAGGCTCTCATAAACTGCTAACTGCCGGCAAATTGCATGAAATCTCATCTTGTATGTCTTCTTTTCTGTGTTTTCTTTCTTTTTCCTGTACTTGCTACTTTGCCCGTTATAAATAGGATCAACTTATATGCACAGCGAGTGGTGCCTGTCCCATGATGTCAGCTCCTACCTTCATTTTACCGCAAGTTTTCATGTGGTGTGGATGGTCAGTCACTTTCTCTAATTTCTATTTGTTTTTGTGTTTGGCTTGAAATTTTTTAAAAATCCATATTCCTAAGTGCACTGTGTCCTGAAAGCAGATTATAAAAATCCCAGTCCTACTGCTGTTTTCGTAAATTGCTAATTTCAAATGTTGTTTCTTAAGTTTCTAATCTTAAACAGAATATAACAGCAACCTATATTTATTTAAAAATGAGTATTTTCTCATAGGGTTTTCAATAAACATTGTCAATGTGGAGAAAAAATTGTATGTGCTTCAAGATGTCTAAATTTTACTAAAGGCAGTTATCCTAAGGACAGTTGTAAGAGCTGGTCATCCCAATTTATTTTCAAAAGATGCTAACATAAAATTAATGAACCACTTTAATTTTATCAATAACTCGATCATTCTAATGTTTTTCTTTTTTTAAACAAACATGGTTTAAATTACTTGTTAGGATTTTACTACTAAGATATCGATGCTCTTATTTAAATATTTTGTTATAAGTGCTTCCAGCTGCTGAGTTTATTTTACTTAACATCACTTACATTATCCAGAGCAAAATTATGATTATTTATTAACCTTTTGTCATTTATCTGAACTTTACAATCAGTAATGTCTAACTAGACGCTTTAGGGCCTGAGTTTCTGTTCAGGGTTCCATTCATAGTTTTGCAGTTTATTTTCTAATGCTGTCGATTCACCATGTTAGTCACCAGAACAGCTTCGGTTGTGTTCTTTCATCATTGCTGTCCAGGTGTTCATTGATTAGGATACCACTAGATGGAGATGTGGCCATTACTGTGAATGGAGCAAGCTTATCAGAGGAGGAAAAAGGTGGAGTAGCAGAGGGATATTTAGAAAACAACTGAATTTGTCCAGGAATAATAAAATAATGGTTTTCACGGCAAAAAACATTTCAGTGAAAAAAACCTACCTGTTCTAAATACTAAAAAAATATTAAATTATCTCTCTGTATGAACATATTTTTAAATTGATATCTAGGTAGCTATTTGAAATATTATTGAATCCTTCAAGAATTGTTTCCTTAGAGAAAATCACATAGGTAATCATACCATTTACATATTAAAAGTGTTGTAAAAACCACATTTTCTATACTTGTCCCTATTTGTAATCGTAATAGAAATGAGCAAACTAAAGCTGAAGGGCAAAAAACAATTCCGTTATATTTTATAGGAAAAGAATAGTGTAAAAATTTACCATTTATTCAACAATTTACTTCCCTCTATCATGCTTCAACTTTCCATGTTACCTTTGAATGAATCACTTTCCATGTTACCTTTACCTTAAAAATCTGTAGGTAACAATGAGTTAATTATTCTTACCTAATACCTACCAAAATATAATCTTAAATTTTCCTATGAAATATCTTTATCTTTTACCCTAACTATAAATTTAACCAGAAAATAAATACCAGCGTGGACCTAACTGGATAGGATCGATATATTTAAATGAAATAACTTTTGAAAGATGAAAAGAGCACACCTGGGATTCCTCGATGTTCTATTGCCCTTGAGGAATACGTAATGGGAGTCTTGGAAGATGGTGTAGGTGACATATCCTTTAGGGTAACAAGGCTTGGCATCTGGGTTTTAAAAATACAGTCACTGCTGCGGATCGGTGAACCTAGTCTATGCGATTTGAGTGCTGTTGTAATGATAGCAAAGGAAGTGTCTTCTCTGAAACAATAGAAAGTTGATATAAATAACAAAATATTCATCTCCCTTCCCAGAAAAACAACTGAGAAATTAATTGGCAGTTCTTCCCCACATTTAGGACCAATAAATGTAAAATCTAAACTTCAATGTTAGTCCATCTGTAACTAAGAATTTGTGTGGATTAGATTATGCTTACAAAAAAGCTGAGATAGTGGTATCATCTTCTAAAGGGTGATAGCTTTCCAAGTATCTAAAGAGTGGCTCTGGCCCTGGCTAGTGTAGCTCCGTGGATTGAGTACCATCCTGCAAACCAAAGTTTCACCTGTTGGATTCCCAGTCAGGGCACATGCCTGGGTTGTAGGCCAGGTCCCCAGAAGGGGGTGCGCAAGAAGCAACTGCACATTAATATTTCCCTCACTTTCTCCCTTCCTTCTCCTCTCTAAAAATAAATGAAGTTAAAAATAAAAATAAAGAGTGACTCAGTCTAAAGCAAAGACCCTTATACCCTGTGTAGTCCAAAAGGAATATATATTATAGGAATCAAATTATGAAGCCCCATACAATGAGGATTTTATTAAAACATTAGTGTTCAAATGAGACGTTTTGACAATAGCTTTATCAAGACCGAAGTGGTAAAGAAGCACAAAAGACAAATAAAGTTTGTCTATCAAAGAAAAATTGAAATTGAAGCGAGCCAATACAAGTATGTGCCACTGAGGAAGTTCATTATTTTGTTCAAACCTGTTATAAAAACACATGATTTGGTACATGAAAAATTATTATGCAGAAATATACATACATGCATATATTTAAATAATTTTAAAATATGGTACCTACCTCCTAAGTTAATGTGTAAGTATGTTAAGGTACTGCATAGGAAAACAAATTATTTGTTGGGGAGTTTATAGATTTCCCTTTGAAGCTGCAATGGGTGAGTTAAGTATGGATCTATCTAAATTCAAAGTTAGCTGTTATTTGGTAGATGTCTTCACCAGTGATTTGCCTTTTGAAGAAAATATGATTCTAAGAGAAAGCAAAAACTTCTTGGTCAAATGACCAGAAAATTTTCTTTTGTGAAAAATTACTTATAAACTTAATTAAATAAATTAAAAATCATTTTATTCTTAATATGTGTATTTGGTCACCTGCAGGTCCTGGTTGTTGAAAGAAAGCCTGAGTAACAGTTTAGTAATACTTGTTTAGTGTGGGCAAATGGAAAAGACTGGGGTCTCAAGACCCCAGTATACATGGTCTTAAGA